CTAGGCTTTTCTTTCCTTATAAACTGCAAAGGGACTAAACAGAGGCTTTGCACTAGGGACATTCTAACAATTATTATTTCAATAAATGGAGAATCTGGGTCACCTTTTCCATGCTGTGCTTTCATCAGGCAGTCTCCAATGAGCTGTATACATTGATGTTGCAGAACTCTGGCATGACTGAGAATTTGCGAATCCAGTTTCTCCTCTACTTCATCACCACTTGCCAAGTCTGCACAGTAGAGAGTCAAGGCAGCGAACAGCAGCCAAGAATAGTTGTGGATATAAGGTTGGATGAGTCTCTGTCGGTCACTGATTCGAATGGTCACCATTGGATATATTGTGATGCTATGAGTGGGAAGGTGACTGAAAGAAGGTATTTACATGTTAAAACTCTAGTTTAAATGCAAGTTTTCTTTCTTAGAAAAAAAGGAAGAACAGAAAGCATGTTTCAAAATTCTGAACTGCAGATCCTCATGAGGCATAAAGTCTCAAGAGCTGTGTTGGGCTCAAAGGGCCGCTGACGATTTATACTAGTTGAAGATCTGCCCCTAGGACTCCAGCTCTATAAATCAAATTTACATGAACAACTTCGGTAGCAATTTTGGAGTCATGGGAGTAATAAAAACAAACCACCATATGCATAAGGAGATCTTACTGATCTTCTAATACTTCTGGGTGGTAAATGCTTAGCCCTACAAGCTGTGAAAGATTTGTAACCAAATTACTTGGAAGTTTGGGGTAAGATATGGAGATTAAAAAAACACTTCTGCTGAACATTTGCTACTTTTCTCCTACAGACAATAATTAGATACTTTGGGGTCAGAAACAGGCTCCCAAGGAATGACATTGGAGTGTCTGTAAGTGGCCCTAATTACTGTTCTTGCCCATAAGCTGGTGAGGACAGAATCAAATACCAATACCTGTCAGAGTACTTTTTTGCAGAATAACACCCATAGCAAAGATCAAAGTCATCACACACATTGCAGTTCATCCGGCGACCTATAATATCCCCTTTGCAATGATCACAGGCATATTCCATGTTAACCATTTCATGGTCATCCTCATGACCTTTAGGTTTAACTCCACCTATATAGAATTAAAAAAAGTTTGCAACTGCAATGACCTTTGGGTACAATATCTATATCTTCCTATTCTTTTCCATAATATAGAGTAAACATATACTTGTTATTGTTATTGAATAGATGAGTACACATACTGATTAGAGAATTCATTTTGTCCCTTTAAGCACCATTAGATTAAACCAATAGAAAGCAACATCTGATTAAAGCTCTGGTCACCAAAGTTTTGCAAGCAGTGAGGGGCAAAAAAATAGGGTCTAGGAATTATAAAGGTACACTGAAGATGCAGGGAGCAGTTATATTACATTATAGAAACTATTTTTTACTATACAAGTTAGCCTTCCTATAGGATCTACAGTAGTTGTGCTTTATGAATTGAATCATTAAGCATGAGAGGGATAGCCATGTTGGTCTGTAATTTTAAAAACAATGAGCAGTCCTGTGGTACCTTAGACACTAACAAACATATTAAGTTAAGAGCTTCCATGGAGGAGTAGGGAGTGGAAATGAGAGAGAGAGAGAGAGAGAGAGAAACAGTTATTGTAGGACGAGTGTTAATGAAGCTAATTAAATCAGGTTGGATGTGTTCCATTCATAGCATTTGTTGTGAAAATGCAAAATACAAAGTTGGGGGAAATTGCCTTTGTAGTGAATGATTAACTAATTAATACCTTTCTTCAAACTAAGGATGTTAAGTATCGATTAATTTACTAGTCAAGTAGTCCATGGAATTTCCATCAACTACTCAACTAGTCATTAAGGAAGAGCACTTAAAGCACTCACTTCCTGCTCAGGCTGCAGCACAATTCCCAGCTGCTGCGCTGCACTCTTAAAGGGACAGAGCGGAGCAGGCGTGCAAAGATGCTGGCTCATTCTCCGGTCCCCCACCGGGTTTCAGGACAACCCTCACGCTGTCCTTCTGCATTTTTAAAAGGGTGGCTTATGCTGAGACAGACAAGCAGATAGGCTGCCGCTCCTGAGTCCCTTTTGAAATGCAGAGAGGCAGCATGAGGGTTGTCCTGAGACCCAGTGGGTGACCAGAGAATGAACCAGCGTCTTTACATGCCAGCTCCGCTCTGTCCCTTTAAAAGTGCAGGGGAGGAGCATGATCGAGTAGTCGATAGTGCTACCAGATAAGTTCCTGCTTATTGGGTAGTCAACTACGCCTTCACATCTTTAATTCAAACCCAAGTTGATAGTGTCAAACTGGTAAATTGGGGCGGGGAACCTCAGGCCTGTATGCTGGAGCACACATCTACTAACCTGGGTCCCCTTAGGCTCTGGTAGGTGAATGTGAGGAGTGTCCTTCTCAGATGGGGGCCATGTGAGTGAAGATTTGTTTGGAGGGGTTTTTTTTTCCCTTTTCATTTGTGTGAGACCCCCGATTGATTTTTCTGTGGGTTAACAGCCCCTGACCCAAAAAAGGTTCCTCACCCCTGTTTTAAATGAACTCTGGTTCAGCCATCTCCCTCTGTAATTGGGTGATCGTTTTCCAGGATACATTGACTATTGACACTGAAGGGGTTTAAGCTGGGGGCTGTAGCAATGACCTACACTGGTCATCACACCTATAGCCCCCAGCTTAAATCCCTCCAGCACATCATTGACAATTTACAACCTATCCTGGAAAACAATCCCTCATTCAGACCTTGGGAGACAAGCCAATCTTTGCCTACAGACAAATGCCCCAACCTGAAACAAATATTTGCAAGCAATCACACCCCACATCACAGTCACATTTGCCCAAGAATGTATCCCTGCAACAATCCCCATTGCCAACTCTGTCCACAGATCTAAACAAACTCCACCATCACAGGATCTAACCATATCAGCCACAACATCAGGGGCTCCTACAACAGCACTTCCACTAATGAGATGTGCCATCAAGTGCTAGCAACAGGAATAGTAACACACATAAACCAGTAGTAGAACTTTTTAACTTCTCTGGACATTCAGTCATGGATTTAAAAGTAGCCATTCTTCTACAAATAAATGTTACCACCCAATTACAGAGGAAGACAGCTGAATCATCAAGGTCATTCACGTCATTCTCTTTTCCAGCTCACTGTGATCCTTCCATAGAATATAGTAATATGATTGGCTCCATTAAAACTGATTTAGTTTATGCCAAAAGAAATCCACACTAACCACATTTGGTTATTTTTTTTTTTAAGGAGACAAATAAAACATAAAATTTCTCCTTTCTTTTATTTTTTAACTCCATGCCAAATTCAAGTTCAGGTGACACTGGCAAGTATGAATCCTACAAGCACTTGCAAATTCAAAGTCACTCCTCTAGTTCTACTTATGTTAGCGCGCCCATTAAAAAAAAAAGCACATGATTCATACATATAGTATAAATTTAGGCAGGTGTTTCTCAGATTAGAAACAGGCAAAATTAGATGTGTTAAGATTTTAGGAAATTTCCAAAAGAAAAATCTTTCCCTTTGCACGCACATTAGAAATTTTCTATGAAATGGGCAATCTGGAAAGACACCGTTTGGGCTCTAGAAGTATGTTCTGACAAGAACCTTACCTAGAAAGCATGTTTTACATAGATCCATATCATTGCATTGCAAACAGCGGTAGCGATGCCATGGTGCAATCTCATCACAACCATCGCATGATATGTCCACATTCAACAGGTCACAGTAACGAGCAACAAACATATGCATCTGGAACAATAAATGGGCACAATTTACAAGTTGAATCTTTCCTGGTTTCAAGAAAGCCCTTTTTAAAAACACAAGAAGCAATGTTCCCTTCGGCAAGAAAGCATGAGGAGATATCTACATGTGCATTTCCAAGGGCACAAAGGGGAATTTGGTGCCCAACTCATAGAAAGCCAGTTTAAGCTCACTGCCTCTCTGTGCCTTTGAGAGATCTCCCTCCCCCCCAAACAAGCAAGGAGCAAGAAAAAAAGTCATGAGGTCACCTTTCTCTGCTTCTCTGGGTCAGCTTGGGCTATCTTTTCATACCAAGTCTCAAACATTATGTCCTGACATTCATCCATCCACTCAGAATTTTGCTTGTAGTCTGCAATTTCATCTTCTTCACTCCACTGACTAAAAAAAGCTCAAAATGAAGTTTGCTTTCAAACAAACTTCTTAATAATGCACACTGGAATAGCTTATTTTAAAAAATTAAATTAAGATAAAACCCACTAATAAGATAAGATCCTGTGTGTCATCTAAAAACTAAAGTGCCACCACAATATTCTAGAGACCTTCACCTACACAAAGAAAGTTTTAACAACACAATCTAGGAAATCCAAGCTCACAGAATTGCTGCTGGGTAATTACGACAGACTAAGAAAATAATGACTATTTCCAATTTAGAAGAATCTGGCCAAAGGCAAAATGGCAAGGTTAAAATGAACATACACTGAGACACGTAGATTTGATGCTCATGACAGAAGAGTAAGAGGACCACACCTATCTTGCTGGTCACTTGCCAGTAGTGAGATGCTGCTTGGCAATAGTCATCTTAAAAACAAATTTCTGCTAGTTCTAGATGTTGAAAATGGGACAATTTTCAAATGTATCTATTCCTCATCTGTCTTCACTACTTGTTTCAAAGTTCAGAGTTCATTCTTGCAAAAAAACTGTTTTAAAGCTTAGCTCTGAATTAAAAAGATAGTCTTCATGACTTACCAAATCACACTGTCATGAATACTTATGTTTTCTTGTGACATAGTCATAAGGAGAAGTGGTAACTGTATATCAACAAAGAAGGAAAGATCACTTGGTTCCCAGCTCATATCCAACAGGTGAAGGAGGGATGTCTGCACACATGATAAGGCAGGTAGCAATGATCTAAATAAATTGGGAAGACCATGACAGCTTTAATCTGAAGTTGAAGCAGAATAATTTTGGGGAAAAGATCAAAATATTTATGACTGAAGCCTTAAAAAAGTTAGTGCGTCTTACATTAAATCAACAGTAGAACCTTACTTTGCTAACCCACAGACTTTCAAAACTCCAGTACTTCTAACCAAAACATTCATTGTCTCAGGTCTGGTCTACATTAATGTTTTGTTATTCTTGCTAAATATACTACAGTACATTTACTAGTGTAGTGTACACTCTGCAGTATATCAGAGTAAAAAATTACATATTTGTCAAAATAAATTAACACATTTTCTGAGTTTTATCCTTGTCATTCCTAATTAGCAAAATTAAGTAAAAAGTGATTTTCTGTATTACAGTAGCATCAAAAGGCCCCAATAATAATAGCCCAACCTGTCCCTAACAGAATTTTCACTCTTGTTTGAAACAAGAAAAGAAGAGAAGAGGAAAATAATAGGAGGGAAGGTGAGAAGGAGGATAAAGGTAACCTAATAAACATTCTATATTACATTGGTAGGCTATGTTCCATACCTGTCACTGATGCTGTTAAATCCCTTCATGGCATTGACCAAAAAGAGAACAAGCTGATAATAGGATTCTCTAATTTCTTTGTGTAGCTCAGCACCACAACCTTCCAAGTGTCCAAAATAACTAAAAATTAAAAAAATTAGCAGATGTAGAATCTACCACTTAACAGTAACATAGCACACTTCTTTCAAACACAAGAAGCAATTTAATAAAAACCCATCATGAATAAAGAAGACTTTAGCGCTAAAGAGATGGTAAAAAACTCTAGCTATGGGACAGTGCCTGAGAAAGTTGGTTTTATAATTAAGTATTTATCTGCAGACTAGCTAATACATTAATCTACAAAGGGAAATCACAAAAGGGAGAAAAAAAATCAAGCAAGTATTGTTGACAAAACAAAAACTACTCTAACTCCAGTTTAAATTATTATACAAGAAAAAATATGAAACTGATCTATAGAGGCCACATTTTAAACTGAAATAAACAGAAAACTGAAGAGTGTGAATGTTTGAAAAATATTCTAGTCTCATTCTCTGTTTGCGCTGTGACCCAATTAGATAACTGGGAACATTCTAAAAGATCCATGCTGTAGCTAAGCTGCTGGCATAAATAGAAATACTGTTAACTAAATCTCAAAATTACCACTTTGAAAATGTAAATGCTCAAGATGCACCATAGAAAGTTTGCACTTAAATCTCAGCACAATATTTGCACTTGCTTTAATATCTATATTCAAAAGGCCATCACTTCTCATATTTTTTTCATCCTCAGCAATCAGTATTGAACCAGGGCATGCAGACATGTTATACAAAATAGCGTCAGCTGCAATTTGCTAAGTTACTTACTTTGAGAAATCTTTCTGGCAGGCCAGAAGTTCCAAGAGAAAAAGTACAAAGGGTGGCTGGAAACAGTGTGGCTGCCCAAGAGATTCTAAACACTGGCGAACTGTCTTCAATACTTCTAGTATATTTTGGGCTTGGGCTTTTCTCAAAGCAAGGACCTTTAAAATACTAGAAAAAATACAAACTCCAATTGGTGACTTCAAAACACTTGTTCTTTAGTACTTCATAATGCAATCAACACTTAAGTTAAACAAGTTTGACGTGTTGACACCTAAATCATTAACTGTACTGTGTACTGCCTTGAACAATAGTTTAGTTACAAATCTTTTACCCAAAGTTTCAGGATGTGTGGCAGAGCCAGAAATAGAACCCAGGGTTCCCAACTTCCTGTTACAACCTCTACACCTTGGGCTGGTTCTAGAAGAATTTCCTCCAGTTAAAATTTGCAGATTGACCCTTTAAAGATCCTTTCTCTAACTTCTCCAGATCTGTTACCCAAGACCCACTAATTCAGCTAAGCAGTTCTTTTACCCAAAGTTTCAGGATGTGTGGCAGAGCCAGAAATAGAACCCAGGGTTCCCAACTTCCTGTTACAACCTCTACACCTTGGGCTGGTTCTAGAAGAATTTCCTCCAGTTAAAATTTGCAGATTGACCCTTTAAAGATCCTTTCTCTAACTTCTCCAGATCTGTTACCCAAGACCCACTAATTCAGCTAAGCAGTTGTGATTTCAAGAGGCAGTTCTTGCCCTATTCAGCCACAGACAGGAAGCAACACCACCTCTCAAGCAGATTTGATGAAGCAGGGCAAAATGCAGCATCACGGCAGTAAGGGAAAGGAATCATTGTTCATCATACTGAAGTTCTATGTTCATTAAATCACCTACGCCGGTTTGTGAACCACAGGTTTGATGCTTCGATATCACAATATAATCGACTATTTTTCAAGCACATGAAATTAGAGGGATGTTACTAAAATAAGATGGTAATATGAAAGCATATTTCTATCTGAAAGCTTTGAAGTCATTCAGCCTTAAAGGACTAGTAAATTTTTCAAGTTTGCTCACCTTTCATGGGAAAGTGACTGATCCTTAATAAAGTTTAATATGTTTTTCAATATAGGATATTTCTCCTTCACAGTGGGAACTGATTTAGACTCTTCCATTGATCTAAAAGATAGCAGCCTTAATCTTCCACGGCTGAACTGAGGTTTGCGTGTTGGAGTGGAGGGAGGAGATGCTATATCCTCTTGCTGCGAAACTGTATTTTCAAGGGGCTTACTTTGAGATTCAGAGGCTACTTCTGTCTGGGATGAGTCTGACATTAGCTTAATCTTTGTGTCAACGTCTACCACTCCACTCCTTTCTGCAGAAGGGGGATGATTTACCCCATTTGAAGACAATGAGTTTGCTGCTTTAAAATCTGCTTCTACAATAGAACTAGTCCTTTGGCGTTTATCATCATGGTACTGCTGGACATCCTCTAATGCTGAAGCATCCCAATTATCAGAAACAGGATCTTTTGCTTTTGCTCTCTCAGGTAAAAACTTTAACAACAGTAGGCTCTTCTGAATACAGTGTTTTGCTGCATTATAAAATTTGGGGAGGGGAAAAAAAAAAGTTAGTAAAATCACCAAATCAAATATTGTGTAATACCTCTCCTATGTAATTTAGGTAGAAATTGGCTCTTAATTTTTTATCACCTGCCCGGAAAGTCTTGAAGGTATGGTTACGTGGCCCTTGACAGTGAGAGTCTGAATTTCCCTGATCAAAATTTTCACACCAACCGTACAAAGCATACAACATGTAAAGTGTCATTACAAACAAGTTTTTAAAGTGACAGTTCAACCATCAGTAAGATAGTCCGGCATACTGGTTGTTCTCTTTTTAGGAAAAATCTGTGGAGACAGTGCACATCACATCAACTTTTTATTCCTATCCACAAAGTTCTAAACCTAAGACAGCCCAAACTGCTAATTAATTTCCTTGAGCAAAAAAAATAATAATAATAAAATAAAATAAAATGAGGAGAGCTGCAAGATAAAGTTAAGCTAAACCATTGGGAAAGACACTTACCAAGGATTTCTGGGTTTACTTCACTTGTTTCTGTATTCTGTTTCTCTGCTGTATCATTTCCTTTACCCATCAGGAACTTCTGCTTCATTTCTAACTGTAGATAGGAAGGATTTCATGTTTTTAATTTAATTAACATCCTATCCAGATGGCATGACAGCATGAAGACTGCACCATAATTGCAGAATCTCATTAGTGTGTCTTAAGGCTCTCAGAAGCAGACTATGGGTATGTCTAGACTACATGCCTCTGTCGCCAGAGGCATGTACATTAGGCTACCTGACATAGGAAAATGAAGCGGCGATTTAAATAATCAGCGCTTCATTTAAATTAAAATGGCTGCTGTGCTGTGCTGATCAGCTATTTGTCGGCACAGCATAGTAGTGTGAACACTCCGCCGTCGACATCAAAGCCCTTTGTTGACAGCCCCGGTAAACCTCATCCCACAAGGAATAACGGGGTGGTCGACAAAGGGCTTTGATGTTTTCTGGATGCTCCGCGGTAAACATCAAAGCCCTTTGCCAACCACCCTGTTATTCCTTGTGGGATGAGGTTTACCGGGGCAGTCAACAAAGGGCTTTGATGTCGACCACGGAGCGTTTAGACTACAGCACTGTGCTGACAAACAGCTGATCAGCACAGCACGGCAGCCATTTTAATTTAAATGAAGCGGCAATTATTTAAATCACCGCTTCATTTTCCTATGCTGGGTAGCCTAATCTACATGTCTCTGGCGACAGACTAAGACTTCAATACAGGACTAGTTCTTTATGATCTACAACCTCCCACTGGCCATCTGTGGCACAATCCAGTGAAATCCACCACAAAACCTGACTTCTTGGAGCCAAAAGAAAGTGGAGCTGATTAAACCAATTATTTCAGTGAGAAGTTTTGCACAACAGCCGTTAGTTCGGGTAAAAGTAACTGTGCAAATAGCATCTTCTTAGTGAAGAGAGTTGATCCTTGTGTAAATCTTTTGAAGACAAAAGAATAATAATTTTACCACTCTGTCTATTAGGATAGCAGAGCCAAAATAGATGTGAAGGAGAGATTTCTCTCTGGTGGGTACATAAAGGTATCTGGAATAGGCTTTGAGGGGATACTGATGAATCCCTGTCATTTGAGGTTTTAAAAACAGGTTAGACAAATACCTATCGGCAGGGCTCGGCAATCTATTGAATCTACTGCGCATGCGCAGTGCGGGGCTGGCAAGCGGCTTTCGCCGCAGTTCGTCAAGCCCTGCCTATCAGTATCTTAGAAATGTAGGACTGTCCTTGTGGAATCGCTGCCTCAGAACAATAGGCTGAACTCGATAACTTCTTGAGATACCATCAAGCCTTCCAGAAGACTGATCTGCTATTTGTATAGGAAACTTCGGATATGTGACCGCCCAAGTTCTGACCCCCCCCACACTTACAAAAATGGCTGTAAGTGCGGAAGGGGCCAAAAACCCTTGGCCCACATTTATGACAGCGCATGGCACCCATCGTAAATGAGGGTTCAAATTATGATGCCCCCAACTTGCAACGCTTCCCCAGGAACCAATCGTGTCTCATGTCGGGGGCCACCTGTATTATAATCAAAAGAATGCCAATCACAGGGGGGAAAAAGATCTCTTTGTACCCTCAGAAAAACGTCAGGAAGAACTTTGCTCACAGCATTTTTAAATACTGGTAACAGTGTATGAAATCAAAGGTCTAAGCTGTGATTATGAAGGTGAAAATTGACTTTGTAGGGCTAACAGTCAGGAAAAACTTCCTTCTTTTTTTAAACTGAACAAATTTTATCCATAATGATTGAGAGAAAATAAAAACATACCTCCCCCACGGAACAATTATTACAAGGCCACTTATCAAAGTAAAGGACGCAGACCCGGCCTTGGGGCTCAAGAGCAAAAATATATGTAAAAGAAGAAAACCTCAGTAGAAACAGTCATCGTGAGTAACCTTACCATCCATATTCTAATCCCATCAGCCAGGGAATATACTTGTGCAAACTCATCATTCAGAGAAATCTTGCCTCCACTGTTGACTATGAAAACAAAAAGAAAGACGAGTCCTTTTATTTGCTGCTTCAGTTTCACATCACTGAACAATTTAAAATAAAATAACTGCAAGAGACTCTCTTAAGTCAGTGGTCACCAGTAGATCTTGGAGCCTCTGACAAGTGATCTTGACTAGTTTGGCTGGGAGGCCATCAAGTGCTTCTCCCCGCACTGTCCTACTGCTCCTGCCCAGAGCCTCAGAGTTGCCCCAGGGAGCCTCCTGCTTGTTGTGCAGGGTGGGGGAGGCAGAGGGTGCTGATATCACTCTGTCCCACTCCCCTGTGCCCCATCTTCACAGAGTAAGGAAGGCGGGGCCTCAGCAAAGAGGTGGGGCTGGAGCAGGACCTCGACCTCGGAAAAGTGGTGGAGTAGGGGTACTTGGGTTTGAGGTAGATCCTGGACCCATGTTGTTTTGGACTCATGTTGTTTTGTTCCCTATGTTCTTAGGGATATGATTTTAATGCATACCAGCCTTTATATCATCTACTGTACCCTGAACAGCAGATCTATTTGCAAATTTCAGTAATGCATGAAGATATGCAGGTAGGGTTAATTTTTACATTGTTGTGCTGCAAATTTAGAGGCAGGAAAAATAGAGGCTATTCCCAGAACTTCAGTGGGAGCTGCAGGTGCTCAGAATGCTCAGAATCAGGCCCTGAGTGTCCAAATAGCATTTCTTTATTCAACAGATGAAAACTTACTTGTGTTACAACGTGCTACCTGAAGTAATGTATCATACATTAAAAAGAAAAACTGGCAACTCTACTCTCTGGAAAGGTACAAGCTGAAATGCAGAGAGCCAACTGCATGAGTTAGGAGCAGAATATTAACTCTAAAAAAACCCATGGTGGGTTACAAGTTTACTTTCCATCACCTGACAGTATGTAGGGGATTAACTTTCATTTCCTCCCCAAATTGTACAGTTAAAATGCAAATATTTTGTTTCTTGTTCTTCAGGAAACCTTTAATGAGAGCTAGAAATGGCTGAATTAGTGAGAGGTAGTTACAGGTGGCACAACTGGTGGGAAACAAATACGTCAGAGTTACAGTCCCATTTCAAAAATCAATATCCCTTGTGGACTTGGCAAATCACAACATCTCTGACTTAGTTTACTCATCTTTAAAGCAAGAATAACCCTTATTTGCCTACCCTACTTAACAGAGGATTTGTGATAATTTGCTAATATTGGTAAAGAGTTCTGATGATAAAAACCACTAAGAAAGCATTATAATCTTGTTATAATCCACTGTGGTGCCTAACTGGTGATAGCAGCACTGTAATATTTTCTTTATACAGGATGACACATCTAACTTGAATATTTGTGAAATTAAATACATATTCCAAGTTCTACATCTGAATTATAGGATTTCTTAGAAATTATCAGCCTTCATTATTGATATATTCACTAATATCAGAGTTACCATATTTTTGTAGCTTCCCATATAAATCTGGAGTGAGATACACCAAAGCAGCAAATGTGGCGTTCACAGCTTGATCAACAGTGGAACCAGCAACTACATCTGTCTTTGGGGCCTGTTTTTTACATGCCTGTATAAGTCCTTTGAAAAGCTCGGAATTTTGCCCATAGAAATCCTGGCAAGGATCTGATTTTGCAAAGTCAAGCAAAAAGTTATGGCAGTCATCCGCATGAGAGTTCTTCGTCTGGTAAGAGAATTAAAACATTAATTTAGTATCAGCTGAAAAAAGCTTGCATCTCATTTATATAATTAAACATCCCATTCCTCAGAAAGATTTTACAGATAACACCACAAGGTTAATAAAAAGGGCAACATTTAAAAAAAAAAAACCAGCTCATGAGATGGCCATCTTAGCATGGCAGAGTACACTTAGAAATGTATCAGCTCGTTAAGACAAAATAAAACTATTCTCATGCATAGTATTTTCATACCCATAGCATAGATAAGGTGGCTAATTACCTCTTTTTTATTTTGGTGCACTTGAGTGGGTTCATTTGTTTCTAAAGATGCCTCAGGACACATCTGATGCCTGAAGACAGGTTTCCATAAAGGAGAATTTAGAACTGATGTCACTTTTGAAGGAGGCAACTCTGCTTCACTACCTAGCTCTGCAAAAACAGCAAGACATACGTGAATTTATGTGTAATACTAAATGTTTTTGTTCAATTTTAAAGGATTGCATAAATACATAACTTTAAACACCTGCCATGAAAGTGGAAAAAGATGGCATGTTCAACAAAACAAATTTAGACTGATGACATCACACCACTCCTGTACAGTCTTACAACTATGAAACAGCTGACATTAATGCAGATTAATGACTAAAATGCAACAGAATGTTACCATTATAAAAAGCCTTACATTTAAACATCTATGACGTACTCATGATCATAGTACCTGAGTACTAGTTAACAAGGTTCTCTTAGCATGTTATAAGCCACCACAGACCTGCCATAACCTATTGCATGCAACAAAATACATTTAAAAGTATACACTGAGGTAACATTTTTTTAAAAATAGAAGCACCAAACTTTAGTTCCTAAATCCACAGCTAAGCATCTGCCTAGCTTTCTGGAGTATTGACAACTCAAAAAAGCTCCCAATGACCTCTATGAGAAATAGAGGATGTCCCAGTACCTCTGAAAAATAAAGCATGTGTCTAAATATAGACTGCTTCCTAACTTAGGATTTTCTCAAAAAAGCCTAAAAAGCCTTGAATGTCAAGCTTTCTATGGCAGGAACTGCTTCTCACTGTGTGTGTAGACAGTGCTTAATACTGTATATCATGAGTGATCCTAGAATACATGTAAACAATCAAACATAGAAACTTGTCTAAAAACTTCTGGGGAAGTTTAGGTAGGCAGAACAGAAAATTGGCCAAATCACATGGATAGGTTATACACGGCTAAGAGCAGATGACGTTTCATACTGACCCTTCAACACAGAGGCAGAATATATCAGAATGAATTCTGCATTAAGGTTCAAAGATTTAGTAAATCAATTACAGATTAGACTGAAATATGGTGCTCCAATACAGAAACTGAAATAAGTGTTCCCCAAGCTCATTTCAGATTTACGAAATTCCAAATTTACTTTAAAGTCAGCATAATTTATGTGCTATGAATTCTCTTACTTTCCATTGTTTTACTGCAAATTTAATGCTGCCAAACTATGGAGAACGAAATCCTCATGAAATCCACAGAAAAGGTACAGTATATGCAATGGCAATGAAAGCTTCTTCACACACAGCATGCTTCAACATTTAACATGACTGCCTCTGGATCATAGTAGTTATGACTCCAAGTCCATTCCACTGCTGGTTTTTGCATGGTTCACAAAGAGAAGGCTAAATAATTAGCATAGGGCAGCAATCAAACTTGCTGCACATACTCCACTAAAAAGTCACTGGATGGTTAAAAGTTTTGGTTACCACCAGCTTGATCTGTAACTTTCAAGTCAGTGGACTTTGTTTTCAAGTATGAGTGGGCTAGAACAACCTGTATTCCTCTTAAGAATATTAAAAAAAGAATAGATTTTTGCATTTCATTCCCATCATAGAAACATGATTGCTAGAGAAACTAATTTAACTTACCCAGTTGGGATCTCAGAGCCATACTCCGAGAAGCCAAGCGCCCCATCAACCTGGATACAAGAAGCTGTAAATCCAAGCCCCAAGAAACTGCAACATCTGGTAGGCCATAAGCAGTGACGGAGAACTTGTAGCCCCACTCATTATTACTGCTGTCAGAGTGAAAGAGAAACTGCAGCCGTGGGCCAGCCTTAAAGGTCACTTTCTACAGAGCAACAAAACAGTCATTTTGCCAAATGTACATGACAGGAAGACATTTTGGGGTCATGAGTTTCCTTCAGCAATTGAGTTTTTCAATATTCTCATATTTTCTCTGTAATGTTTGCTACCACCCCCATTACATGACTGAAAAACCCACGGCATTTAAAATTTCAACTTTATATTAAAAAAATAATTGAAAGTTTCAGCTCACAATACAGCTTTTGATGTTAAAAAATACAACAAGAATTAAAGGTTACGCTGGAGTAGCTACAAAGCATAACTTGAGTGGCCACAAGTATGTAATAAATGAACTTAACTTACCACTTCAGGATTTATTTAAAATTAATGAGGTACAAGGGGATCAAAGAATAATATCAACTGTATGTTTAACTGAAGCGAAACATGATTTTCTATATGCTAGCCAGTGATGAGTTAATCAGATACTAGTACTGGAAAGGACCTTCTGGACCATTCAACATATTTGTTTCCATCACTGTAAATTACAGATTTCCTCCCCCTTCACCCATCTAGGTATTTAGAGATGGGTGTATGCACACATACACGAAAGACAAGATGTTGTCAGTTTACAAGATCTTTGCAAAACATATCTAAAATACCACAGAGTTCAATATTAAACACATGTATATTTTGCACAATATTCTATAGTCACTCACCTTGGGCCACTTCTCAGTGCCAACCTTCGTGTCATAACGAGTTTTTGCACCTCTGGCATCAGTGAACTCCAGGTAATCATATCTGCAGAGAGTACAACTCATTACTTATATATTTTTATTTTTCACCCCATTCTGGAGACTCAGCAATGTGGATACTTTGCTTCTTTCGATCATTATATAACTATTTCATTATTTCAGTACAACACCCCTAGCACATATATGGCCATTTCTGCAACAGAGCTCCCTGATCCTTAATATAAAGTTTAAGTATTAAGCATTTCTCAGTGCACGCCAGAAAAGCAGAGCTAAATTACAGAATGATCTGAACTTTGGAATAGTGGTTCTTAAGTGGGGTAAAGTGAATGCTGGGAACAGACAATGATGGGCACAGTTTTTTTCAAGTACTAGTGCAAAAGCAATCAATGGAAAGCATAGTCCCACTGCCTGAGGAACAGGGCCATGGCACTCAGGGCCTGTGCAGGAAGTTTATCTGAACTCTTTGAAGTGGGATTTCAGCTGTGTCAAGAATCTTAACCGTGGTGCAAAGAAGAGTACAAAGTGGGTCATGCATTCTGAGGGAGAAGTTGGTGGAGTAGGTAATGCACATAGGGAGGGATATGGCCCTCTGTGAATAGCTTTTGGAATCTGAAATGGCACACTGTTAAGTTACCTCCTTTCTGTTTCACATTTTTCATCAAACTCCACCTCAAAGTAAGTTGCCCCAGGACAAAGGAAAACTGAGACCTCATGGCAATTATTTTCATAGTTGTGAGGAGATTCCATTGTCCATGTTCGCAGCACCACGGGTTGTTCTTGCTGCCAGCTTTCCAGGTCCACCTGCGTAATTAAATACAACTTTCACCTTACAAGGGACAAATGCAAAACATACAGTGGGAGCACAAGATTATTTCACATTTGAGTGCAGAGTTTTGAATAGTCATATGCACAAGATATAGTACGCGTATGTGTGTAAGAACTTATCCCTCTACTCACTTCATTATAAGGAATGAAGCCAAGTAAGATTATCAAGCATGTACTAGTATTTTATTAACTTTTTATTTTCCTCTTTAATCTCTTTCCTGTCATCAATCCTTCTCTACTGTCCTATGTATTTATAGGCTCATCATTTCAGTGTCATTATCTACTTATTTCTCCTCCTGCCATATGCAGGCTCTTCTGAAATTTCTTATCTTTCCTTCCTTTTTTTTTAAACTTCAAAATCCAACCTTCCTATATTCAAATTACCAAAACCTTCATGAAAGCTTTTGTCAACCATAAACCTCTCCTCTGGACTCTCAGTCACTCCTCTCTTCCAAAATCAGTCTATCCAAAATGCTGACATTCTTCCATGGCTGCTATACCAACTGTATCACCACTCTTCAAAACCTCTCACCAGCTTGTTTTTCAATTAAGCTAGTGCAAGCTCTTCATTTCCCCCTGCAGAACAAAAGCATAATTTCACCCTTAAAAGTATTTTTCCTCTTATTTCCTCTTAACTCAAATCCACTCTCCCATTCCCTTTGATCAGCTTTTATATACTCACATACCACAACGATAGGTGTGGTATAAGAAACAAAAACAGAGATTTCCTACTCTTGACTCTGCATTTCATCATGCAGCCCCATATACTTGAAAATAGGTCCCCAACCTTGTACTTTTTAGTATCCTTTAAAAACTTCCACTTTCTCCTTTAAAACAATGTATCCCATTAATCCATCCCAACACAATGGGTATGAAACTGCAAGCTCCTAGGACAAATGTCATCTGTTGTATATTTAGAATGCAATCAAAAATATTAATTCACACAAACTTCTTAATCTACAGAGTGAATCTATTTTCAACCACATAATAACTAACTTATGTTCTAACTAAATCAGTGGTTCTCAATTGCAAGTATGCAAACTCCTAGAGGCATACAGAGGTCTTCCATGGGACATATGAATTCATCTAGATATTTGCCTAGTTTTTACAACAGGCTATATAAAAAGCACTAATGAAGTCAGAACAAACTAAAATTTCATACAGTGACTTGTTTTATACTGTTCCATACACTACATGCTGAAACGCTGAAACACATACACAGAGTTTATATTCCAATTGATTTGTTTTCTTTCAATTTATTTTCTTTTTTTTATGCCAAAAGTGAGAAAGCATGCAATTCTTCAGTAATAGTGTGTTGTGACACTTCTGTATGTTTTATTTTTATATTTTTGTAAACAAATAGTTTAAGTGAGGTGAATCTTTTATACACAAATCAGACAACTGAAAGTGGTACAGTAGTCTACAAAGGTTGAGAACCACCAAATTAATTGACCTTAGCATTTTTTTATTCATAACTTAGTTTACTTAAGTGAACATGATCTTTTTAAATAAAGACATGTATGGTCCCTTTAGAGTTGTGTGTTCTGAACAGTTTTTTTTATGTAACCTGGTTGCCCACTTGTAGTTGTGACTTCTCTGCTATAAAAATGCTCAAAATGACTTTACAGAAATCTTGGAGAGAGACAAGTTCATCGGATAAAGACCAAGGCAAAGAAGACTTCAGAAGGTTACAGAGAATCAGAGATGTTAAAAGTATCTATATCCATCTATCTTTGGTTACCTTATTAAGACTCTCTCCGGGTTCACTACAAAGATTCTTCAGCAGCGGTATCAAGATACTGAAACCTTGAAGTAGGGTACAGTGCGGAATGTCTAAAGTGCAGAAATCCAACAAGAAGATCACCTAAGGAAAAAACACACCAAAGTTACAAAGCCTTCATATGCATATTCACACTAAAGGAGAAGGGTAGGACATCCCACTCATTCACCTACCAGCTGCCGGGTTGCCATGGCAAAAACAGAGTTACTTAATTTTTCTACTATAAGTTTGCCACTATATTGGGATAAAAGTGATTCTAAAATTGTCCTGATATTTGACAGGAACTGACCCACATCTAAAAAAAGAAAGAGAAAACATTATGTAATAGAAAATTAGCCACATTGAGGATTCACTACTAGAAGTCTGTGTTTTTCCTGTACACTTCTCCTGGGCTTGATATTGTACAAAACAGAGAAAGACAGGTGTTGCCCCAAGGAACTTACAGGTCCCCTGCAAGCAATGATACACTGTCAATGACAATACCAAAAGCAGAAACTAGTACTTTAGTCAAACTACATCTCCTTGAGCTAAAACAGCTGTTTCAATAATCCTACTGTAAACATCTGATTTCATAGATCAGTGGTGGGCAACCTTTTTTGATCTGTGACCCCTGCACCGTGGGGGCTGCCAACTGCCGTGCCCAACCCCCAGCTGGCCAGATCTAGGCGCTGCAGGGGCCACCAACTGCCAGGCCCAGTGCTATGCAGCCACCAACAGCTGGATCTAAGTACCATGACCCCCCCAGGGAAGACATCCACGACTGCCTTGGGTTGCGCACCACTGTCCTAGATCATTGTTTCACTAAGGAATGAAACGAATTATGAACAAGGCCAGCAACTTTTAGATGCTAATATGACAACTGAATACATAACTCGTATACAAATAAAATTAAAGAATACAATCCAGGTTAGAATTTAGAAATGGCCCAATGTTACTAAGTACAAATTTTATACCACTTAACCATTCAGTTTATGGCCCAATTAGTTATTCAAGTAACTGTGGGATGCTATAGTGAGACAAAGCATGCCATGCTGATATGTGCCTTCAAAAAAATCTATATCAAAAGGTTTTATTATAGACAAAGCGTTCAGCTTTTCTTGGCATTACCCAAATCTTCACAAATAACATGCTGCCTCACCCAGAGGAGATTTTACTTTGGAGGGAGAGGATGGTAAGATGCACTAATAATGGACAACTAAAGAAACCATTTAAAATGGAAGCCAGTAACTAAAAATTCTGTTTCTTCATAGGCTCAATACCTAGCATATTTTTTGCCTCAAATTAGTTTCTCATGATTTTACAGTCTCCTCAGACATAACAACAACACAGCAACTTTAGCCATAATGATAACTGCAAATTGGTCCATATGGCTCTGGGCCAATTTTCAAATCTGTGAAGAGCACTGTAATGATAAGGATGCTTCAGATACAATAAGTGTCTAAAGATAAAAATGCTAATCAGCTTTTGAAAGCATATTTTAAAGTTCTGGATAATTGCCTATATTAGGCACTGCCTCAGCTCTGGAACTTACATTTTTTAAGAATTTCTATGGCAAGACTCTTGGCTGTATTATCACTTCCCTTAAGTTGTAGATAGCACCATGAAAGAAGGCTGCCCTGTACAGACCAGAATAAGGAGGACAGTACTGTGCCACTCTCTTGCTGCGCAATATCCAGCATCATCATTTCACACTGAAAAGCAATAATAGAACAATATCATCCCATGCACAACTATACAATATCCCATGCACTGCAGTGTGACAGATTATGGGATACGCCACATAAGATACATTACACTCCCCACTCCCTGCATGGCCTTCCCCCTCCCAGGATAGAAGGCAAAAGACCAGTCATATCAGTTGCTAGTGGATGAAAAAAAAAATCAAAAGATGTATTTGAAAGAGGTTTTAGTAACTCAGAAATATGAACAGCAAACAGGTCTTTAAGTAGCTACAACTACATTTGGTACAATCCATTGAGGCTTTCAGTACATTCTGTAACAGACTACTTATTTTCACATGTGAAAAGTCCTGACTTTCCAAAGCAGAGATCTTTCAGCCTCTGGACCATGACTGGTTCCCACACTTCAAATTGTTTAATTTGCTCAATTCATTTACAGCTACTATGGAATTTTATGGAAAAACTCCCAAAGACAACCTATTCATTCAGTACATTACCTTATTTCTTACTTCAATGTTGTTACTGCTTAAGATATATTTAAGTTAGTTGGGACCCAATTCCTACAGTCATACATAAATAATTGTACTTGTGTGAATAATCTTATTTACTGGCTTCAGTCTCTTCACATCCAGCATGCCTTTGGGAGCACACCACATTCTATAGAAAAGCAGGCAGAAAAGAAGAAGTGAGAACAGACAATCTGAAAGGATAGCTACCTCTCTGGCTGCCACCAAAAAAAGGGTATCCATGACTGACAACACTGGGCTAATGTCAAAATCCTCAGAAACTTCCTTTTCTGGTAACAACAGAAGTCCACCTGGATCTTGATCACTGCAAAAGACAAAAGATCACTACAAAAGACTTTACTGAGTTAACAGCTAATGATAATAGTCTGAAACAGATGCCCTGTTGCGATGATAATCTACAGGGATCATTTGCGCGTGGTTTCAACCGGAAAAATCAAATCTCTAAAAATCTTTAAAATGCTTTTACACCGATTAAAACAAATAGCAAGTGTTTCTAACGATAACAGTTGTCTAAAGAAAAAAATTCAAGCATAAAACAATTAACAATGCTGCTCAGAGACACTGGGCAATACACCACAGCCTTAGGAATTATTTTAAAATTGGGCAATCTTTGTTATTGACTGGCACAAAAGGAGTATTAGTAAGATGCATAGAGCTTTTTATTTGCTTAAAGAGAAGGTCCATCAATAGTTTTGCTGACTTGCAACTTTCTTTTTCAGTAGAATTTGGAGTTATTGAAAAGGATGAGTAGGATGAAGATAATCAGATAAAGTTATTTTTCAATATTAAAGAGCCTCACCTGAAGTACATGCACAGGGATCTGAAGGTGAGATGCACAGATTGTTTATGTTCCTGTTCTGTTATGTTTTTCTAGGAAATGGAAGAGGTTTATGTTAAAAAAGTTTTTTTTGTAAAAAAATTACAGTGACACGATGGGGAAATAACTTTTGCTGTTTATAGGAGGATTAGTATTTTTACAATTCCAATAGATGTTTGGTTTGCATTTTCTTTATAAAAAAAAAATAGGCTCAGAAAATGGGTTATACCTTTGGTTTGTAAAAATTTGTAAAACAAAAAATGAAATTTTATCTTTACATTCTCCGCCATTGAGCAAGTCTTTAATTTAAATGACATTTAAATAATTTTTCCTTACATCTCCTAAATGGCTCTTTTCTAAATGCTATGTGCTTACCAAAAATTGTATTTATAATATAAATGTAGTATCCCATCACACATAAGAAGTCTTACAGATCCATATACACATGCTGTATTTTTTAATTATTGCAAGTGAATATTTTACTTTATTTTATTTTCCAATAGGATCTAAATCCAGAAGGAAACCAGGATATTAAACACTTTAATAGTATTTAACAGACTTGGACACTATGTGTCAAATCACTGCCACAGGTTTCCTCCTGCACCTGCACATCTATCAATGGGAGTTGTGTGTCAAGACTGATTGTATGCTGAGTAGAGGTTATATCCCTCAAAGACCACTAATATGGAGCTTCACAATGCCACATTTCCTTTGTTAAACAGGAACTTTTGAGAGTATAAAAGAGCTTCCTTTGAAGGTCGACAATTTGAGTTCACAAAGTATGTCTCAAACTATTACTTTATGAAAAGGTAAAGGCAAGCTCCCCTTATCTGGAATGAAATGATTGTAGAGAAAAGGAGAGGAATATATAGATACCTGCTTTCTTTTCTGCATTAAGATAAGATACCTTAGAAATTAATTCCAACAAAACAAAAGAATTTCTCACTGCATGGATTACCATCATGGTGAAGAGCTGGTCCCGTCTGGTCTGTCTATCTGGGAAAAAGATAGCTGCTCCATTGACCAATGTGTTCTTAACTTCCTGCTTTAACATGGTCATGGGCGTGAAGTTGCTATCGCTCACGTCCACCACTGTACATACAAAAAGGAAACGGTTACAATTTCAAAAGTCAAGTATCAGAGGGGTAGCCGTGTTAGTCTGAATCTGCAAAAGCAACGAGGAGTCGTGGCACCTTATAGACTAACAGATTTATTGGAGCATAAGCTTTCGAGGGCAAAGATCCACTTCGTCAGATGCATGTAGTGGAAATTCCAGAGGCAGGTATAAATATACAGGCACAAGAAAAGAGTACCAATCAAGAATAAGGCTAGAGATAATGAGGTCAATTCAGTCAGGGAGGATAAAGCTCACTTCTAGCAGCTGATGGAGAGGAGAAACTGTTTTTGTAGTTGGCTAGTCATTCACAGTCTTTGTTTAATCCTAAAATGATGGTGACAAATTTGCAAATGAACCGTAGCTCAGCAGTTTCTCTTTGAAGTCTGTTCTTGAAGTTTTTTTGTTGCATGATGGCTACCTTTAAATCTGCTACTTTGTGTCCAGGGAGACTGAAGTGTTCTCCAACAGGTTTTTGGATATTACCATTCCTGATATCTGATTTGTGTCCATTTATTCTTTTATGTAGGAACTGTCTAGTTTGGCCGATGTATATAGCACAGGGGCATTGCTGGCACATAATAGCGTACGTTACATTGATAGATGTGCAGGTGAATGAAACCATGATGGTGTCTACACCAGTGACACCATCACAGGACTTAACCAGATCAGCTACGCCACGAAAGCTTATGCTCTAATAAATCTGTGAGTCTACAAAGTGCCACAGGACTCCATCACTTTTGCAATTTCAAAAGATTAACCAACTATATTTATCTATCTTTAAATGCACAATAAAATTTCATTTCTTTTTCAAGACACAAAGCACAAGATACCCATCACACATACAGAATGTATAATTTGCAATGTGCTGGGATGTAAATCTATATTGAGATAATGTGCTGCACATTTACTGTCCAAGATAGTACATTCCAAGATACACTAACAGTTCCCTATGACCTATCCCTCTTCGATATGAGAGTAGGATCAAACATGGGCAGCCAGTAATCTAGGCAAGGGAAGGCATGGCCTTCCCAAAACTGCCTACATGCCCCGGCCACCGGGGAAAGCTGGGCTGCGGCACAGCAGCCCACCTCCGCAACTGCCTGGGAAGGCTGAGGCTATAGCACAGCAACCACGGCCCTTCAAGTGGCCAGAAAGGATGGTACTGGGGGTTGGAAAGGCTTGGTTCCAGAGGCAGGCCTCAGGCAGAAGGGGTGAGGCGGGGGTTTGTCTTCCCCAGCTGGGCCTTCACCCGCCACCCACGGTATCAAACACACTCATAGTTCCGTTGATAGACACAGAAAGGAGTCCACATAGAAACAGCATGCTTGTAAAGGATAGGATTTTAACTCAGGTTGTTACTTAAGGTCTGCCTACACAAAGATGTGAGAAAGCCTTTTGAATTGTAGCAAGAAAAACCATCTGTCAAAACAGGGGGAAAAATACTTTAAAACTATCACACTCGGCACAAAGTCATTCATCTCCTCCTTTTTTTTTCATATTTTCTTAGTATGTATTCAAGTTATGGAAAACCTTGTACTTACATAAATGGGGCAAAATCCTGGCTCCAAAGAAGTCAATGATAATAGTCTCATTGACTTCAATGAAGCCAGGCTTTCACTTGTACGTTACCAACCATGTGGGTTCATTCTAACATAGTGATGAGTGGGTAGAGATACTTATAAACAAATCTAATCCTTCCAGTGTTCCCTCTAAGATTTTCCAACCATGAGCAGAGTGAGTTTGGATGTGCGCCACCATGGCACCCAATTTATTAACACACACGTTCCTGGCTGCTGGAGCAGAAATACTGCCTCCCGTCCCCACCATGCAGAATGCCCCATTTCCAGCCATCGGAGCAGACCCCCTCCTCCCCCAGGCCATGCATCATATCCCGTTCCCAGCCGCCAGAGCAGACACTCCCACCCCGCCCTGAAGCGGGTCCTGTTCCCAGCCCGTCACCAGAACAGGCCCCAGACCATGCTGCCACGTGGCAGCCCTGGACACTGGAGCAGGTCTCCCCTCCCTCCAACCAAGCGGCTGGTTCCAGCCCTCGGGACCAGCAGCTCCCAACACCATGCTGTGCGGCTCCCCAGAGGTAGATGGGGGAAACATTTTTTGTGCATGCGCACATATTAAATGGGAACTATGAACCCTTTTACTTATTCCAGTACTGAAGTCAAAGGACCAATTTTTCTACTGGTGCAAGTAGATAAAGCTCCACTGAAATACCTTGCCATTGAAACTACTTTCAGGCCACGTATTAGAAGGACAGATGCAAGATCACTTCATCAAAGGCTTAAAGAAAATACACAAGTGAGCTCTCAACTAAACCCATTGATTTAAAAGAGCAATAAAGCATGACAACCTGAAAAGGCAATGGGCTTGCATTTTGGAAAATAGGTTTTATAAGCTCATGCTAGTGTAAAATTCCTTTAAAACAAATCAATACTAATTAAATTAGTAAGAACATAATATCAGCGAACCTTCACACAAATGCCTGTAGAGCTCTTGTGCAGCTTCTGTTTGGCCTGAAGTTTTGCTTTGAGAAACTTCCTGAGTTTTATTGTCTCCAGTAAGCACAGAGAAGCAGCTTTGAAGAAGCTGCAGTAGCACAGTCTGGGCAAAGAGACATTCTTCTCTTGGACTAAAAAGGAGGAAAAAAACCAAAAAACCATACAGAAGTAAAATTTTCACAGGAAGAGCTCATTTCCAGCACACACTATATGCTAAAGCAAGTGGCACCTTGTTCCTTGAGTAATTTCATGGATTTCAATGGAATTAATTGAGTACTGCTGACAGGAGAAGGGGGAGGAAATTAAAACGGCCAGGAGCTTCCACTGCCGCTAGTACTTAGTGTTGAAGGCTCTCTAGGATAGGCGTGGCATGTTCTGGGTGGCACTGAGGCTGCCTGAGGTAGGTAGACTTAACCCTGCACCTTCCGGGGTGTGGAGCCACCCCATCCCTCTGCCCAGAGAACAGGCAAGGCTGTTGGCCCCACTGGTACCAAAACATAAAGGTTACAAATATTTATGCAGTGGTTAAAGCTGTCTAGTCTGGCACCCTCAGGATCTGACTGAAGCTAAACCAAAGAATTTGCTGAACCACAAGTCAATATTATCTAGAGGCATTACCAACACTTCCTCAGCTTACTGTGCTCTTTGAAGACATTTAGGGGTAAATCAGACCTAAATAACAGCACAGAACACTGAGAAACAGGGCTGGTGGCTGGAAGCAAACTTAATGGAAGTGTGGGAAACTTGGCCATACCTATGATCAAACTGGACATGCAGCATGATTTTAGTTAGCCAGATCACAGATGTTGCCGGACCAGAAAGGTTTAACCTATGTAATGTTGTAGCTAAAACCAGATAAGATAGAGATGGGAAAGTGGGCTTAAACTGTCATAAGGGAGATTTAGGTTGGACATTAGGAAAAACTTCCTAACTGTCAGGGTGGTTAAACACTGGAATAAGTTGCCTAGGGAAGTTGTGGAATCTCCATCTCTAGAGATAATTAAGAGCAAGTTAGATAGACATCCATCTGGGACAGTCTAGATGGTACTGGGTCCTGCCATGAGGGCAGGGGACTGGACTCGATGACCTCTCAAAGTCCCTTCCAGTCCTAGTGTTCTATGATTCTAAATATCGACTACCTCAGCTCAATGGTAGAAAACATCAGCTAAATTAAATGCATGTTACGTAAACATATTTATGGCTGTTTTGTGATGGAGGAGGGCCCTACTTTTGCCGTAGTTTATTGTAAAAATTCCAGAAAAGCTGCAGGTCAAGGCCTGTGAAGTCCAAGAGTGATCTGTACTTTAATCCTCTTTCTTTCTGATGAACCTGAAAGAAGAAAAAAAAATTATTCAATTCATTCTGCATAATGCATGCTTACAAAAAAAATTGAAAACTGCAACATATGAAGTATGAAAGAAATATCAAACTGCATATGAAATGCCACTGCCTCCAGAGACAACATGATCAGGCTTCCATTAGCATCAATCAGCTATATCTTTTCACTTGTTGCATCAGACTAACAATTTTCACTTCCTTTCACGTTTCTACTATTTGAGTAGGTTAGATTTTGTGAGAACAAGTTATATTTCTATAAACCAGTTCTAATGCTCCTGTATGCTTCCAAGAAATAAAGATTAGCTATTTGAAAGGTAGCAGAACTTTAATATATGTTGCAATAATTCCACTAAGCACTTTATCATAATGTGTGAGATATGGAAATGCAGTTCAATGTTCATAAAGAGGATATATTGCTACCTTACAAGAGGGCACTTAAATTTAGTTCTTAGTACACTAAAAGTCATTTTCCAAACACTTCAGGTTTCATGACTTGCATATTACTACTACTGTAAGCTGTAATTACAGCTTGCTTGTCTGGTCACTACATTATTTTATAATTCCTCTTAAGTTTGTTTTTGGTGTGCCACCATTTATTCTTATAAATGAATAATGTAATGACCACATGCTTGAACGAACTGAACAAATGTGGAGAGAAACATACCAGGTCCTGAGCAAGTTGTTGGATGAAATGAAGTGTTTTCAGGAGAAGGGTTGTTCCACAAATGCCATCATCTGTTGCTTTGCATTTCAGGCAGTTCATGCTTCTGTTGGGCTCCACTACAGTAGGCCGAAGATACCCCAGAACAGTCAGGCCCTGAACTCCTAGGCGCTCTGCTGTGTCTTGTCTCGTGCACAAGAACTTTACCATTAAATACTGCATAGAAAAATAAAAATACCACATGAGCTACATTGAACTATGTTGAATTCTAGTGCACAGTGGGGATATGCACCTTTGATTTTACAAAATCGGGTGCTAAAAAAACAAAAAAAAACCAACAACCTTAATTAATTCAACCTTATTTTGTAGTGTAGACATGGCCTTAGTAGCACTATTGAATGTAAGCAACATATACATTTAAGATCCAAAGCCATAGTGTCCTGGCCTCCACTACACCCTGCCCTGCTCTGCATTTCTGTAAAACACTAAGTTCTCTATGAGCTATATATTACAGGCCTCTGCAACTGCTATGTTCATCTGCAAACTCTGGTAATCCAATGATTAACTCAGATATTTTAAACTGTGTGTTCTGTTTCTTCGTTTTATAGCACCAAGTTTCCTTGCAAGTGGAAAAACAATAGCTTAATATAAAAAGAAGAGGATAAACATTTAAGGTAAATTAAATATATACATGCATTTAACTTAATTCTTTCCACATTTGTATAAAGAACCTGAAGTCGAGAGTTTCCATTAAGGAATACATCCCCAGTGTTCAAAGGTATTTTTTAATCCTGTAATCATATTGTATAACAGTTCAGACAGCTACTGAGCAAGGATATGGCATGTCCTTGATTCTATCACACAATCGGAACAGAAGGGAAAAGTCCCTAAGCAGCTACTTCTGATATTTTCTACCACTGGAAGAAGAGATTTGGAATCCTGGAACCAAATTAAAATTGAATCCAAAACAACTACATGAACTGGAAAACAAAAGTTTCACTTTTAATTGCTGCAAATTAACATGCTAATTACTGCAGTACTCAATTAATTCCATTGAAATCCATGAAATTACTCAAGGAACAAGGTGCCACTTATCTTGTATAAAGGTTGCAGAATCTAGACCTTATTTTGTAGTAATTAAAAGTAATCAAATTAGAATATTGAAAAACTGTGATTGTGCAGCTTGTTTCATGTTTTGTTCACTAGGCTTACAGTGGAACTCCTCCTCGTGACACAATCCCGTGAGTGGAAACTTTCCACGCTTTTGAGAGAGTCATGTCCCCACTAAATATAAACAAACTGTGGTCCATTGCTTTCACTGACTTTTTATAGCTTTAGTTAAGTCCTCTTCTTGGGAAACAAAAACCTGATGATTATTAAACTGGTCTTCAAGGAAGCAGGAAAATGATCATTTCCTCATTCACATTCAAGTCAGACTGCTCTAATTATTTCTTACTTGGGAAACTCTGCACTGCTGCATTTTGACATCCACTTCATCCCATTCTTCTTCCACCTCAAACCAGCCAACAGGATCATCCTCTCCCAGCTCATCACATGACAAATCACTTCTGCAGATAAAAGCAAATCAAAGTTATAATTAAAAAAAACCTTAAGGATTGCCCACCACTGCTACTATGTTACCCAACTATTTTTACCTGTTACAAAAATTTAAGATTCAGGAAAATGTAGCACCGTGGTCCCCATTTCCATGCGCCCGCCAGGTGCTCGGGGCTGGCCTGGCCCCGGGTGCGCGGCGCTGGGCGGGGGGAGCGCCGGCCCCGAGCGCGCGGCACTTGGGGGGGAGCACTGGCCCCGGGCGCGTGGCTATGGGGGGGCCCCGGCCCCGGGCATGCAGCTGGGGGGAGGGAGGCCGCCCCCGGGCATGCGGCTATGGGGGGGCAGCCCCCGGGGCGCAAGTGTCCCCGCCCCCTGGCGCCCGACGGCCGAACGGCCACGCCCCCTGGCGCCCAGCAACCTCGTAAGGTTGGGGACCACTGATGTAGCAGAAACATTTCCCATGCACAGACTCCAACAAAAGCTTGTATGCCATAGACTTTTTTTGTTTTTAAAGTCAATTTTACAGCATACTTGTAGTTGAAAGAGCAATGCAGCTATTAGGAATCAGCATTCTGCATAGATACAGCTCCTCAAAAGTATCAAATTGAGATTTTCATTCAAACTGGCATGGTCAGGATTATGTGTTTAAATGTAGACCTTTCGCTATGTAGTGTCAAGTGACTATTTGCAGGTACAGCAGTGGACACAAAGAAATGTTAAAGACTATTTTTCCAACTTCATCCACACTCTGAATAGGATAGAGGTGGTTTGCTGCAACATTAATTTTAAAATTGTTCGTTACACCCTGCCCACCTTTACCTGTTTTTTAAAAATTGCCTGAATTCTTGTAGTTTCCACTTGTCATAGCTTTCAAATTTTTTAAAATGCTCCTCTGCATGAAATTTTTCTGAAGAGCTGTTATAAGCAAACACCAACCCACACTGGGCTCCAATAGCACCTTTCCGAACCTGAAAGGAGAACATAATACTAGAACACAGAGAAAACTAGGATAACGATTAAAATTATGTTTCTGCTTATAGTTACTCCCCAACTGACGAAAACTTATACACACAAGAATCTAGTTACCCTCAGCTCAGGTGGGCACTGCAAAGCATGTAGATATGCTTTAGGAAAATAAGTTAGCTTTTTCAAAAAAGTAATAAAAATTAAAATAAGGCACAAACAAGCTATTGAAACCTCATCCACTGTTTCCTTTCAGTCATGAGATTTTACCGATGCTTGGGGCATAACATTTTACTTTCCCACCAGAGTAAAGTTTGACATGTACTTAAAAAACACTATACTACATACACAAGAATTAGAAATATCTCATTGGCCCGAATAAGGTATAGGAAAAAAGCAATATAAAATACAGTAAGCTTCTGATAAATACGGCACCTTTGGGACCCAGGGGGTGCCAGATTATCAGATATGCCGGACTATCAGAAGGAGGGGCTATGAGGGGTCTGGGGTGGGGGGGATGCCACCCCAGACCCCTCATAGCCCCCCCTTCCAATAGACCATCATATCTGATAATCTGCCACACCCTAGGTCCTAAAGGTGCCGGATTATCGGAAGTTTACTGTACACGTAACCTGCATTATTAGAAAGGATAGGATATTTAGACATTTAAAAACGCAATACAGACTCTGAGATAGCATTCTTGTGTGTCGTTCTACCTCAGTGGAGTCCACCATCACCTTTCTCTTGGTGGTTGACTTAATCTGATGTACTGAAACACTGTGTATTGTTATGTTTTGTATTTTTTCCTCATTGTTACAGGGGTGGAAGTTTAAAAAAAAAGTGAAGGCAAAGAAATCAGCCTTGGTAATGTGATAGATAAAATTCTGTCACTGTCCCCTTTCATACATTTGAGGGCCACTCTAATGGTGAAAATTATTTAGGCCTTGTCTACACATGACAGTTATATTTGCTTAACTAACATGCAACTAGAAAAATCTCTGACCTACAAGGTTCTAGATACTTTGGTGTTAGGAGCATTAAAATGTGTAGGTAGTAGATACCCATTAGAAAACTCACTCAAAAGAGAGTGATAAGGGTAAGCCAAGTGTCTCTGAATTTAAGAGACAAAGGAGGGTACACAATTGCAATGAACCATTAATAAAGTGAAAGAAAGACACCTAATGGCCAAAAGGAAATTAACAGAACACAGCACAAATTAAACAAACAGATAGGAGTACAATTTAATATTGTAGCCTAATATATTGAGGGACTAAATTATCTAATCATGCTGAAACTGATCAGCAGCTGATTCCAGGAAGCCCGGGGCAGAGCAACTCTGCCTCGGGCTTCCTGTAGTCAGCCGCCGGTCAGTTTTAGCAGCGGCTGAATAAGGGAAGCTGGGGGCAGAGCAACTCCAATGGTCCCACTACCCGGAGCACTTCCAGGTTCCTGATGGTGCCGTACCATCAGGAGTGCCAGACTGTCAGATACCGGACCGTCAGATACCGGACCATTGGAGTTTTACTATAGATGGATCCCTGCTTAAAGTATGTTTGTGGCAGCATTCTGAAAACAGATGAGATTTCTGTTTTTCCTTTTGTGCAAGTTTCCTGTGACTCATGCAAACACAAACCTAAACAAACTGCTGTCACTCCATGAGGAGGCTCAAAATTTCTTGCAAATCACAAAGCTGTACATTCAAAGGTGAATAACCAAGAAAAAAGCATTAATCCATCAGTCTGCTTGCATAATGCAAACAAATTTCTTACCTTTATTCTAATTTGTGTCACCTGGAACGTAGATTCAGTTCCTGTAGAAAGAATGATACTTGCTCTGGTCTTTCCAGTCTCAGTAAGGAAGCCTAAAGGAACAAAAAGAAAACAGAATAAGGCTTAGAAGGCTGTCACCTTAAAATAAATGGATACAGAATTATGACAACAGGCGTAAAACAAAACCCAGCTCTCTGTTCTATTGCAAAGATTCAACCAGTGACTGAGACTTGAGATTCTACTTATAAGTTAATGTAAAAAGATATAGTGTCATCTTAGTACCAGCTGAACCCCTCTAGTCCGGCACACTCTGGTCTGGCAACATTCATGGTTCAGAATGATTTGAGTTAGGTGGATGTCCACTTATCACGGGTTGGCCAAGTTTCCTGCAGCCCAATAGAGTCTGCTTACAGCCACTAGTCCTGGCTCTCAATGTTCTGTGCTGTTATTTAGTTCTAGTTACCCTTAAGGTAGGTCTACACTGTGGGGCAAAGTCGAACTAAGATATGCAACTTCAGTTATATTAATTGTGTAGCTGAAGTTGAAGTAGCTTAACTAGGCTTTGGGCGCAGTCTACGCTGAAAGAAGAGTGTTCTTCCTTCCACTTCCCTTTCTCCTCGTGAAATGGGGGTTACTGGCATCGACAGGAGTGCCCCTCTCAGTTAAAATTAATGGTCTTAACCGCTAATTCGATCGAACCTTGGAAGATCAACAACAGCAGCAGCTTTGATCTTCTTCTGCAGTGTAGATGTACCCTGTCTTCTAAGAGTGCAGTAAGTAGTGGAAGTGTTGGTAATGCTGCTAGACAATTTTGACCTCCTGTGGTTCAGCAAATTCTCTGGTTCAGCATCAATCAGGTCCCAAGGGTGCTGGACTAGAGAGGAGCAACCTGTATATCCTCTCTCAGACCATGTCTCCTCTGAGGATGTTAAAATGCATGTGATTGAGTAACTATGTAACTGCTAAAAATGTTAGTAGTTACACACAGGGCAACAGCCAGCTCCCCAGGAGCTGGTGCATGCCAGCTTTTAAGGTAGCTCACCATGCATACTGGCTCCCGCCTACTGCTCTGTGCTGCTACCTCTGATACAGAGGCAGCAGCATGGGGTGGCAGGAGCTGGACCAGGAGCCACATGTAGCCCTTTGGGTAACTGATAAGCATCTTTTCCAGTTACCCATTTAAATACTTATATCCCTAGTCTCCATAGCCAAAGCCTGTCCTGGGACTGTACTATTAGTAACAGAAATTATTCTTGCAACTGCTAAGTTTAGTCACTCCTATTGAATGTTACTGAGGCCACTGAATTGACAGTGTTAACTTATCTAAAGGACAGCTTTTCTGGAAGCAAAGATAGGACTGTCAAGACCACTCTCTCCCTACTCTTTCCTCTTAAAATCCAGGACAAAATCTCAGAAGGACATGAGCTATAAATCCCTCCTTTTGTTACTATATTCTGAAGCAGTAGCATCAAGAGTCAAAGGCCAGGGCAATGTTACCTGTACACTTCAGCTAGGGGCTGAGTAAGTGGAAGAGAACGATTTAGTCGAAGAAACAAAACTTTGCAATGCAAACACCCCCCAATTTTGATTGCAAATAACCCCAAGACAGACAAGCGGCTTTCCAATGTGTGTTCCACATTAGTATTGCACAACTTACATGCCCCCCAAGTATGTTGCGTACTAAGCACTTCAGAAGATTTTCTAAAGAAGTGCACATTACTTTGACTGGCAGAGCCATTAATTATTGCCTCATTTATAATTTTTTCTGATTTTTAAGAATATTTTGAGTAAGACAGACATCAACAATAAAGGATGGCTGACTCTTCAAACAAAAGAGTCAAACACCTAAGCATATTCTACATGATTCTCTCTTCCATCCTTTCATCAGTGTTTGGGAAGTTCATGGTCTTTCATAGCAAAACATTACTCTATGAAATTTTTCACACCAGCCTGCTATTCACTTACAGCCAATGCACCAAAAATCTGACCTAAGATACCAAACTTGTTTTAGGGGAAGGAACAATTTCTAAGAGAAAATTCCCCTTGAGTGAGAATTACAATTTAGAGGCAAGTGTCTGCAGAGTTCCTTTTTTCTAATTGGCAAGCAGGGTGAAAATGTACAACTCTAAAACACTACAAGAAATTGTAAGCAGAAACCTATACACTTACCGTCCCCTGTCCAGGGCTCAACAAGGAGGTTTTCAGGCCCTGATTTATCTTCCTTTCCTTTTACATCACATGCCTGAAGAGTTAGCTGTAGTGGCTTTCCTGAACAAGCAAATCAACAGATTTGTCACAGCTATAAAATAAACAATACAGAGCCACTGGCATGCTAAATTCTTTACAGCAAGAAGGTAAAAATAAGAAAGCCATTAAAGAATCACAACATCATAGAATCTTTTTTTAATTTGCACAAAGGAAACAAACCCATTTTACTGAAACTTTACAGATCTGTAAGTATACAAAGATAAGAAAGTTGTTACAGCTGGACGAACCATGGCTGCCAAAATACACACATGCTGAATTAAAGAGTCCACAGTGCATGGAATATTAAATACTATTAAATATTATGTGAGGTGGCAGAGATACAGTTGTTATGAGAACCATAAGTGATTTTTTCCAGAAATTTGACAATAATGTTGTAGTAATATTTTATTTTTAACATATTTACATTTGTCACATATCAGAACCAGCGATTGAGTCTGATCTAAGTATTTCTCTATCTTAGGTTCACACCTGTATTCCTGGTAAGAATAGCCAGTAATTCAGGACTGGAGAGAAGTGGTTAAAGTGAAACTACTAACCTGAGATGAAGTCAATGTTAAAAAAATTGATTAAAAATAATTTCTGGTACTATACCTGTTGCTAAGTCTGCATGCTAATTGTGGTCCTATTTAAAAAGTACTTTTCTTCCTATGTTACTGAGTGAAAATCCAAACAAAAGGGAAACTGACTACACAGAAAGAAATTACATTGACTATACAGAAAGTACTGTTAAATGAGCAAACAAACTAAAATATAAATAAAAAAAATTTATTAACTTAAACTTATTAAAGTTTAAGTTAATACCCACAGAAAGACATTTTACTGCCTTATGCTAGACAAGGTTCAAGTTTAACCCTTTGATAAACATCCACATTTATTTTTTGCTTTTGATAAAGAAACTAAAGAATTGTACCCAGACTTGTGTACATGACATAGCTATGAAAAAATGTAAACAAAAAGTAAATATACTCCTCTCAGTAAAATGGGACAGAAAAAAAAAAAATCAGGAAGCCTGTTCTAGGAAGAAAAAAGATACCACAAGATAAACTTAGAGATGTAAACATCTTTGCCATCTTACTTCTGAGCCTACTGTCCAAGGAGCTCTTAAGCAAGCCTTCCTTCTCCAATGCGACATCACCTTTGGTTCTTGGAAGCATCGCAAGGATATCAAGTTTAGTGCTTGCACTGCTCTGATTCAAGTACCATTTTAGGAGATATACACCTTTCTTTTCAGCTCAATAATACTAATTAAAATAAAACCTCTTTATACCTTGATTGAAGGATCAAACCACCAGTTTACACACAGAATTTGGAGAGCTGTCTATGATCTCTCTCACCCATGCTCGTAAACTCACTTACTCTTTCTGCAGGTTGCAGTAACCATTCAAGTTGCACTTAAAGATGTCCCTGAAATATTTACCATATTTATAAAGCAGGTTTTGTCTAACAGTTGCCATTGAAGAGATGAGTGAAGAAGCCTTGTATAGAGAGTCCAGATGATCAGTGATAGTACAAAGTGAACTTATCACTTTAGCAACACTCCCTCTGGCAAGGGCAAAAGCCAATAATGTAAGTTCAACCTCTGGTGTGGCACAACAACTAGAAGATAAAAAGACCATGTACAAAAATATATAAGAAAGGAAACCTGCAATTTCATAATTAAGTACATGAAATGGTATATCAATCATTTCAATTAAAACCAATGATGTGGCATATTTATTAGGGATGTTAAGTAGCAATTAATTTGCTAGTTGAGTAGTCGATGGAATTTCGGCACGTTAGGAAAAGGCTCACTTCCAGGTCTTGGCACAAGCCCACCCAATTCCCCCGTTGCCATTCTGCACTCTTAAAGGGACAGAGTAGCTGGCACGCAAAGGCACTGGTTCAGTGTCTGGTCCCCCGCAAAGTCTCAGGACAACCATCCCCATGCTGCCACTCTGAATTCTTAAAGGGACAGAGAAGCGCAGCGCATTCCGCAGGTCTCTCTCACTTTAAGAGTGCAGAGCAGCAAGGGGGGGCGGGGAGAGGAAGGGTGAATGAGTAAATGATAGTGCTATCCGATTAGCTCCTGCTTATCGGGTAGTTGACTACTTGTTCACAGCGCTACTATTTATACAGCCAATTAAGCCATTTGTTTATAACAACTTGATAGCTAATTGTCCCATTCCACTCTTTTATGGAATCATTGAAAATATTTTATCATCTAGTTAGAATCTCAAAGATTAAAAAAGGCTATTTAGTTTTATCACAGGAAGCCAGTATCCGAGTTTTTGTTATATTGGTCTTTTAAAAAAAGAGTATGCTTCTACTAGTACCCTGTATTTCACACTTTACCAGTCTAGAGCCTCCATCTGACATGATTTCATTCCCTTATATTTGCTCTCTATTTCTCTTAACAGATCTCATTACTTTTTGTACATCCACATAGAGCTAAGCAGCAAAAAAAAAAAAAAAAAAAAAAATTCACATCCCAATAACCTGCGAAAGGCAGACCCAATAATCTAAACTTTTGTTGTACTATGTCCATACATATGTATGGGTAATGTGCTTATACCTAACACCTGAGGTTTTCTTACTGTAAACATTAATCTATTAGGTCTTTTTCTTTATAATTTAAAACCTAGTTGGCTAGCATCTGATCACATATAAACATGTCTAAAAGTATAATTCATATAAAGAAATCGATTAAACAAAAAGGAATCTAATGGAAAACTCCCAGCTGATTGCAGATGGAGCAGAATAGGGCCAACCATTTTGGTCTATATACCAAGGGTAATTCCTTAAAAATAATTCATGATGGCAATATTCTTCCTTATTACCACAGCAGTTAAGGTACAAAAGAGTAAGCTGAAAGATGGTACCTCTTGACTGTTTTGGGGAGCAGAATTCCTAGAATTCACATTTTGGATTAACTGCTTAGAATTTATTCTCAATGGAAAAAAATGTTAACTCTTCCACAGGTCCATAAACAGTTGTCACTGCAGCACTAGTGGCACATTAACTTATACTAAAAATACTCAATACTATGTCTCAAAACAAATATGAAGGAATGAGCTTTTGGCTTCTAGGTCAGCTAAATGCTCACACTGAAGAACTAAGGAACATATTCTTCATATTTATCTTGGAGTTTTTCATATTTGAGTTTTTCAAATTAACAAATGAGGACTACGACAAATGGAAGCTATTTTTGCAGTACCTATTTACTCTAATCATTTTCTGACACACAAGTACATTAATGAAATTTACCTGGTTATTCTTATAAGAAAACTATCTATTTCCTCCAAAACATTAGGAGATAAGAAGTTTGAGAAGTCTGTAGAACCCGATGTCAGGGACAGTGGGGGCATATGTTGCAATGCCTTCCTACATAAGAAAAAGAGAAACACCTTAGAAATAAACTCAAGTCAGAAAGAACTGAAGAGAAAGAAGCTTCAAAAAGGAAGGGCCACTCAGAATCTTCATACTTAAGTGGCTAGATCTCGGTGTTTAGGGTAGATGGTCTCTGCTGTATGTGGTGCATTAAAAACACAAAGCATTTGGTTTCTAGTTGGAGAAAGTAGTGCATAGATTTTTAAATAAAAGAGGCTATGAAAATACCACACAAAATTAAACCCTGCAATTGGATGCATGCCATCAGAGACTAATTTTGTGATATAGAGCACAACAAAACCATTTGATAAAAAATGCATTTCTAAATTCAAGTCAATCTAAAACTAAGTAATATCTTGTTGGAAACAACTATAAAATAGCATTCCTTTATTAACCATGGATATTGGCAGACCAGAGAGGTTCAACCTGTACAAGAGATTTTTGAAAATCATATGCCTGCCAAAATTGTTTAGTTTGACATCTCTACTCTACTCTAATGTGCAGACAACTACATGATTAACTGATAAATCTGGATTTATCGGTTAATCCTGACAACTACCTACAGAGGCAGCAAGGGAGAGGGGGAAGAGAGAAGTATCAGAGGCAATAAGGGGACACCCCTGCGCTGCTGCCTATGATACAGAGGCAGCAGTGTGGGGTGGCTGGGGGCTCCCCAGGAGTGGGGCAAGGAACACATTGACTGTGGACCCGCCTCTGGGGACTAACAAATAATCATGTAACAAACCTGATGTGGTTACACAACTATTCAATTACATGCTGCCTAATAGCCCTAGTTTAGGGCTGTTAAATCCCAATTATGTCACTAACTGGTTAAACCTTAGGTTTAACTGGTTAAGCGGGATCCCACTCCATCCACGCCACCATGCAGAAGCCAGCAGTCCTGTGTAGTGGGGAGGAGGGAGGGAAGGCAGGGCCTGACTTTTGTCTCTTCCCGCACACATGGGGCTCCCGGCAGCAGGAACCAACAGCTGTGCACATGGGGAAGCCAACTTCTGACCCAAGAGCCGGCCGCACAGTGTGCAGGGAGGCCAGCACTGGGTCCTGCTCCCAGCTTCCACGCATGCATGGAAAGCAGGCTGCTCCCGGGTACTGATTAATGACGACCCAGTAAGCATCACCCATGAGGTTAACAGGCTACATGTTCACATCCCTAGTTTAGTTTCTTTTTGACAGTGTATAAAAACCTGTTCAACATAGAAGTTTAGTGCTTAACTATGCCATGCTGCCTCCTTGATATGACAGCAGGGTGGAGGGGCTGATTACCACTAACTGCAGTGTTTCAAGGGTGTCTACATATATTTTCACTCACAGGATCAAGGCACCAACACAGATGCCTTGCTCTGATGTGTGCAAACAAACAGAGGCCCTGAAAGAAGAGTGAAATTCCTAAATATAAACCTAAACAACTAAAGACTTTAATATATTAGGACCGATGCCTTCTATCCATGAAAGGGTCTTAACTACGTACTGCTCATTCCATACACCACATGGTACACAATTCCTTTTTAGTTCCTGAAATATCTGAGAATGTTTAAACAATATTCAATATTTAACACTATTAGGATAATAAAGGCATAAAAAATTGGAAGCCTTTTCTCCCATGAAAAGAGATTGTTTAACAAAACTTAAAATCTTATATAACGATTGGCTCTTTTGAGTGTAATTAATATATATATATGAATTACATTAACCGGATACAAGAGAAACAAAGAATGTAAGAAAGAAAAGGAATACCCTTTTAGAGTTAAGACGACTGCATTAACACATTAAAAAGCTACAAAAATATTTGAATTGATGTGAGGCAACCACTATGTGCTCTTTGAGACAGAACTACTAAGTAACAAACTGAGCAGTCAGCCACACACACACACACACACACACACACACACACCCCCCTCATCTGGAACCTTCTAGTCTATGTAATTAGACAGCAGCAGAAACAAAAAAAGTAAACACATTATGGTACTATGTTAAATGTAAACTACTAAAAGATTTGACAAGGTAATGAGAAAAAGCACAGAAACAATTTCCTTAAGACAGTTAAAGCAGCATTTTCTTCTGCATAGAAAAGTTTCAAAGTTGTGTTAAGTCAATGTTTAGTTATAAACTTTGGAAAGAACACCCACAAACACTTTGTTCAAACAAATAATCCCTCAGTAAGTGTAATTCTGAGGTTCTACTGTACCATATTTTCTGGCGTATAAGACTACTTTTTATGCTAAAAAACATCGCCCAAAAATCGGGGGTCGTCTTATACGCCGGGTATACAGGCAGTTCCCGACTTGCAGGTAGGAACGGGGCTTTTCTCACCCCGGAGGACACAGACTGCGGGACCTCGCGGTCCTGCCACCCGTGTACTCCGGGGCGAGAAAAGCTGCTCCGCGTCTCCCTGGTCTGCAGACCAGGAAGACGCGGAGCAAAGCCGCGGAGGGGCTCCGGCAGCGGGGCAGCCAAGGCGGGGGGGAGCCAGGGGGTGCACCTCAGACTGGAAAGTGTCCTCACTGTCATCTGCCTACAATGACTGTGGCTGTGAGGCACCTGGAAAAGGAGGAGGCGTGGCAGGATAGCTAGATAGATACTTTTTTTCTGTAGGATTGGGCCTTCTGAGTCCCGGCCTGGGTTGCTGCCTGGGAATCAGAGTTGGGTGCTACAGGGCAGGAATATCCTGTCCAGCTCTTCAAAAACATGGACAGGATTTTTTCCTGTCAGCTGGGGTTCGAATTTAAGGCCTTGGCCCGGGAGCTTGCAGGCAGCGGTCCGCCACCTCGACCTCCGGGGCGAGAAAAGCTGCTCCCGGTGCCCCTGGTCTGCGGGGGACCGTCTCCAGCAGACCAGGGACACAAGGAGCAAAGCCGGGGAGGCGGAGGGGCACTGGGGCGCTGCCGGTTGGCCTCCTAAGGGGGGGGGGGTCTTATACAGCGAGTATAAGATGAAAACCTATCTTTTAACTAGAAAATTAGGGGGTCGTCTTATACGCCCAGTCGCCTTATACGCCGGAAAATACGGTACTTTAAGCTAATTAGCTTGAGTGGACTGAAAGGATAGTCAGGAATGACAGTCCAAATAGATAAAGCTCTACATAAGTAAGGGCTATTGAAAAAGCAAACTAAATTAAGCTCTAGTCATAAAGAAAATGGAACACAGTCAACATATGAAAGCAGAAAACAACATTGAAAACAGGAAATGAATTAATTTCAGGCTTCTACGAGAATACTACAAGCCTTGAAAAATAAAAGTAAACTATAGAAGCATCTTGCCAGTATACAGTCAGCCATGTATTGGTATAGCAGGCATGTAAAAATAATTTACTTAGCCTGATGGTTATGTGTGGGTACTAGCCATATGTAGCAGGGCAAAGGAATGACTATTTGTAAATTTGACAAACTGGTAGCCAAGGGTCTGTTTAAATATCATGATGGAGGGAATGGAAACAAGTTATAAAAGATTTTATAAAATGACAATTTTTATATAAAAAGCAATGAAGTTTGGTACTTACTGAGTATTTTGCAAGATAGTGTGCACAAATGCTGGATTGGCCTCCATGGAAGCTGTTACCAATGAGGTCAGTAAAGACCAGTACCAGATAGCTGAAGCATCACATACTGAGACGCCAACTTTCTTAACTCTTTGATAGCCAACAGCCCTGAGCCCATGGATCCTAGTATCACATCCATCACTAAGGCAACGCCTGATGTTTATCTGCACATCTGTTGGTAAGATCAATCAAGAAAAAAAGGTAATTTCTTTTTTTTCTAAAAAGAATAAATAAGAGAATCTTTAAGTTCAAAAGAAAAACTACCGGCATTACAAAAATGTGTAACTGAAGTACCCAGTATCCATGTGATCATGTGTGCATATAACTATTGCATACATGAGTATAAACATGCACAGACTAATCTGGAAAATTTAAATTTCAAGGGACTCACATGACCAACTATATGAAATATTAGCCCCTGTAACACAAAACATGGGGTCACAAGTTATAGAAGGGAAACAAAATTTTCCTCAACATGTAAATAATCAATGTATTTCACTCAATATTTTATTTTAAAGACTAACAAAAAATGTAGATGGTATCATATTGATAAATCATACTGATACCATCTACATGTTTTGTTAGTCTCTGAAGTGCTACCAGACTATTTGTTGTTTAAGTTTTTCCTGTTACAGACTAACTCGGCTACCCCTCTGACTATTTTATTTGTTATGTTTCAAAGGCAAATTTATTTGCCAAGGCTCTGGCACCTTCATCATACGACAGTAAAATGCAAATAATTTCAAAATTAGAATACAAGTAGTTAAATATGCTATCTTCATTTCAGATAATATACTTGCAGAGTTAATTTGAGAAAGTAGGTACCCTCTGTGGACACTTCAGGAAGCTATGAAAAATATTTTTCATGGAAAACACCCATTTAAATAAAACCATTGTTCAGTTAAACTTCAGAAATTGTCACTAGGTTCTATCCAAGAAGGCAGCCACAGATCTGTCATGCTTAAGGTGACAACACTGAATATAGTTTGTTAAACAAAAAGCTCAAAATATGTTGAACACGTTACAAAAGTCAGTTCACTCACGTACTGACAGAGGTGACATTGAATGACATTACAGCTGACACACAAACTGTTCCTTAACCAGAAGTGGAATTTTTGCTACATATTACCATCTAGCATATTGTGGCACTGCATAGAAATTCTTATAAATGCATTATGTAAGTAAATATATATTTTGGCATATCTTCAAATGAAAGATGCTGGAAATGCATCAAAAATTAAAACCCAGATGCTATGCAAAAAGACTTTGTAACATGGGCCAAGAACCACAATCAAAAATATCTGGAATAAGGACTTGGCAAAAGCCTCTGTATGAACACCACAAATTTCAGCAAGTTATCCTCATATCTACCCAGCCTTTCACTTTCAGAAAAGCAAAAAAGAAAACACCAATTATGTCTTTATTAACTCACACATCTGACTAATGTTAGCGTTTTCCAACAATGTCACGTAGCCAGTGATATTGCTGGGAATGTGAACATCTCGGACCTCCTGGAGATTGATGGCATTCCTTCCAACCGCCACCGTAACTTGCTGCGGCATATAACTCTGGTCATTAGCTGCCACTGCAATGGACAGATGTCTCAGAACAACATCTGGTTTCATCTTTAAACTGTAAGATGAAGAGAAATAAAACATACATATCTCCTAAAGAGAAAAAAAGAAATTAAGGGCCTGACTTTCAACCTAATCTTTGCCAACCTTCACTTCTGCAAGCACTAGCAACTGCAATGGTGTTTATCTAGCTACTTGTAACTAATCACCACTTCAAGCGAGTGCTTGAAGTGCAGGCTAAACCAGGTATTGTCTAGCTACTAATATCTGTGCCCATAAATGCAGAAGTCACTTCTGAAAATCAGACCCTGAAACTTTACATCATTCAGCAGAGTCTTCACTGTGTTATCTTATAGTCATTATAGGTGTGTAAAAGCAGAACACAACTACAAAAGGACTATCAGTACCCTAGCACCAAAGAGAAATGTAATAACTCACAGTACAATTAAACACTGATGCTATGGGTACATCTAGACTACAGGCTTTTGTCGACAGAGGCTTTGTCGACAGATAATGTCGACAAAGAGCCTCTAGACTACATCCAGTTCTGTCAACAAAGCAAGCCGCTTTGTCAACATGAGTGTAGATGCAAAGGACAGTGTAGATGCAATAACGCCTTCTGTCAACAGAACTCTGTCGACAAAAGGAGTTATTCCTCGTAGAATGAGGTTTACCACTGTTGACAAAACTGCTGAGTTCTGTTGACACTGTCAACAGAACTCAGGGCTAGTGCAGATGCAGGTATAGTTTTGTCGACAAAAGTCCACTTTTATAGACAAAACCCTGTAGTCTAGACACATCCTATATGACCTCAAACCTATTTTCCATTCTATATTAAAAGTAGTGATATATTTTACTTCAAAATTGTGACATGAGTCTCTTAATATACTTGTATTGGGTAGTACTTAAACATTCATGATACAGCTAAAAAACTTTAAAAAATACCAAAGATGCTAAAAAAATAAAAAAGTAGTAATTTCCCCCCATGCCACACATGCATACTCAAAACAAAAATGGAAAATAAGATTTAACTTCATGTCTTTTTAGCCAGTTGTAACCAAAGTGAATACTTTTCATCTTAATATAAAGATTAAGATGATGCATAAAAATCACGTGTTTGCATCTGACTACTCAGTTACAGTCTAGTAACATTAAAATAAGTATTCCGCACTGTACATCTTAAGTGCTGACAAGCCTAAAACCCAGATGCCTATTACCATGCTACTGACCGTATCCAATGTGAGCGAGCACTCCCATCTGACTGCCAGAAGGATAAGGTTTCGCCATTAGTCATCTTGTCAATGTCTGCAGAGTTGGATGAGGTTTCTATGTGAGTATAGCACTTAGTGACAGTTTTGAGTTTGTCCATGTCTTGGTTACCATTCAGATCACTGGGGGATTCTGTAACGACACAGAAAAAAGAAGTCACGGATAAGGACACTTAAAAACAAATATTAAGCACTAAAAGCAATCACATATCCCATATTCATATCTCCTGTAACACATTCTCTGCAAGGATGTGTCTACACAGCAGGGCTATTTTAGGATACCAGAAGTATTCCAAAATAGCTTCCCTGCATCTTTCAAAGATTCCCACTATTTTGAGATATGTGTCTCGAAATAGCGGCTGTGCTATTTAGGCATCCCTGTAACCCTCATTCTATGAGGGCTAAGGGATGTCTCGAAATAGCATGTTATTTGAAAATTTGGTGCTGTGTAGATGCACCAAATTTCAAAATACGCTATTTCAAAATTCAATCGAAATAGATACACAATTTGCATAGCACAATTTGCGCATCTTATATTGAGTTTAGAATGCTGTATAGACTTACCCCAAGTATGTGCCATATTTAAAACAGAAGATAGCAATGTTTTATTAAAATTTTGCAGCACAGAGTGCACGCCAAGACTTAATCTTAATTTGCAACTGTCAATGTGAAATACTTCTATATTTCACTGGAAGTTTTGCAGACTAACTCAGAGGTGGGGAACCTTTTAGGATCTGGGGCTACTGACCCACAGAAAAAATCAGTCAGGGGCCACACACAAGTGAGACGCAAAAAAAAAAAAACCCACACCTCACTGACATAGCCCCCAACTGAGAAGGAAAAAGACACTCCTCACAGAATCTAGTGGGGCTCAGGCAGGTAAATTTTGTGTGCTCTAGCCCTGCAGGGAGATAGCAGGGGGGCTGGAGCATCAGCGCAGGCTCCCCAGTGCTGAAGGTGGAGCCCTGAGCCTTAGAGGCTGGATCCAGGCAAGCCAGGGGTTGTATCCAGCCCCCAAGCCTTAAGTTCCACACCCCTGCTTTAACTTTTAACATAGTCTTTGGATTATTATTACCAGGGCTTGTCAAGCCATGCGGAAGTGCACGCTGTGCATGCACAGACCACGCTGCACATGAGCTGACCGTGCTACGTGGCCGCACCGGGCTATGATCTACTTGCCACAGGCGAGTAGATTAACCTATTTGTCGAGCCCTGATTATTACACAATTGCAAACAGTGGAAAATAAACCAAGCGAGGAAATCTAGCCAGCCATTCTAGAGAGGAGACAGAGCTAATTGCTTCTCTGCAGAAATATTCTACTTGATTTTTTTCAACCTGGAGAAAATAATCAAGTATGGAAGAATGGAAAAACGTGTAAAGTCTAACAAAAACTTTAGAAAGTAAGCTTTTTCTTAGAAGTGCCAAACTATGAACATAGTGCCAGATTCAAATTCTACACAGGATACCACTTGGATAACCACAGAAAACACATTGCCAACAACTTAATAGATTTCTTTTCTACTGGACAATTTGCTTTAGGAATGGTTCACATATAAACTATGTTTCCAGTGAACCAACTATGATCAGTAAAGGGGTTTGATCCAACACAATATAACAAATAAATCTTCATTCTGAAAAATGATTAGGATATAGGAGAGAAACATCCATGCCAGTCACTCACAAATCAGACAATAGATAGGATTAAGGGAACCATTTCTTACCATTAGACTTACTCCAAGGAAAAGGGAAAGGCAAGTGTGTCAGCCTCAGAAGTCACTTCCAACAAAAATTTTGAAAGAGAGGACAGGGGTCTTGTATGTTTGTGGCTTTTAATTCCTATTTCAACCCCTGGCTACATCAAGCACATCAGAGAAACTGTATCAAGTTCACATACCCTTTTCTTTCAGAAGAAGCTTATCTAAAGAATCCTTCAGTACTGAAGATCGCATCGTACAAATATTATTGAAATACTCCAACACAGGGTATGGGATGACAATACTGGAAATACGGTTCCGGTGCAAGAATCTCAATATCATTGAAGCATGAAGACCAAGCTGCTCTTTCGACTCAGAAAATATGTCAATAAAACCTAAAGAGACATAAAAGTTATTTCTGTTTCCTGTATCACCTGCCTCACCCTGCAGCAACCAAACAGCACCCTCTCCCCTCACCACAATACATTATCACTGATCAGCTGCATTTTAATCAACTAATGAATCAGCTTGTGGAAGATTTTTCAAAAAGAAATGGTGCACGCTTAAGACATTTAAAACTTAATTGGGGAAAGCACAAGAATACAAATAGTTTTCCAGGCACTGGAATGATTTGGATGGTTGACAAGTGTGAGCCTAAAGTCTTTATTTTGATGTCACTGCTTTAAAAAAAAAAAAAACAGTTAAAAAGTTAGTTTTTATGTTAATAGGGCACCACTGCATTTATTTGAATACTGATCTATTAGATTCTAATGCTACCTCGATAATGGTATTTTGATTTGAACAGCTGGCTACATTGGTAGAAAGAACTCCTACTCTTCTGTTAGCTATCATAAAAAACTGATTGTCAAGTCCTCTTAATCACATCTATATCGAGCACTTCCTGAGAAAGATAATTAAAGTTTTGAAGGAAGTTAAACGACTGATACACATTCCACTGAAGCCTTAGAAGGCTGAAATCTGGAAAGTGACAGATGTTTCAAAGATCTGAAGTTTGGAAGATATGCAGAAGAAATTGATACACGTTATCCTTTTTACTTCCTCCAGTGCATTAGAACACTAATTACCAGAATTCAAATTCTTTCATATGAAAGTTGATAATGAACAGCTGCATTTTTCCTGGCACTTAAATTCTGTTATGAAATGGCAGTTTTGAGTTCTGTACGTCTCTCTCCAATACAGGGGTGGTCAATTTTTGATGGGGAACCACTCCAGGATTTTGGGAAGTAGTGAAAGGCTGCATTCTTCCACGATATTAATAGAGGAAATGAGGGGTCTGGGAAGGAGGTTGGATGCAGAAGAGAGCTTGGGGCAAAGAATTGGGGTGCAAGAGGGAGTGTGGGTTCTGGGAGGCAGTTTACATGAAGGACTAGGGTGTAGGAGGAAAGTACAGGGATTTGGATTGTGACCTGGGGCAAGAGGAGCTTGTCACCTGGAGCAGAGGCCTGGGGTGCTGGTCTGGGGTGCAGTAGTGGATGCAGGGGTTTGGGTTGTGACCTGGGGTAGGGGATTGGGGTACAGGAGGAGGTACAGGGAGGGGTTTGGGTTGTGACCTAGGGCGGGAGGGGGTTATGATCTTGGTCAGGGGATTGGAATGCAGGATCTGGGTGCAGGGATAGGTTCAGGTTGGGGGAGCAGAGGGTTTGGGTTATATGAAGTAGGGGGACAGGAGTAGGAGGGGCTGGAGTGCCAGTGGCAGGTTCTGACTGGGAGACTTGCCTGAGTGACTCCCGGCCAGCAGCCCTGCACATTCCTTAGACAGCCTCCCTGTCTGCCCTACCTCTGCACAGGCTGCAGGGGCCATGTGAGTCTCTGAATAAGAGCTGGAGGAGAGGAAACTGGCCAATGGGATTGTGTTGGGGGAGGGAGCAGTGCATAAAGCCCCATTCCCTAGCAGCATGTAAAGCCTCTTCCCCAGGCTCACAGCTGTGGAAGAGAAATGTCCTGGTAGCTGCTTTTCTGAGCTGTGTGCCGGGGGGAGGAGGAGGGAAGCAGGGAGCCTGCCTGAGGCTCCCCACTGTTCTGCAGCCAGATCTGACAGTACGGCAGGCTGCATTCAGCATGAAGGCCATATTTTGCCCAGCTCTGCCCTAATAGATTTACCATATTTATTTTAGGTGTGTCTAAAATGAATAATTATGGGCAGTATGAAAGCTAAAATTACCCATGAGTCATGTTTCTCTTTGAATTAACTCAGGAAAATAAAACATACAGTAGAACCTCAGAGTTATGAAAAACAGCATTATGAACGGACCAGTCAACCACATCTCTCATTTGGAACCAGAAATATGCAAATACTGTGCAGCAGAGATAAAAAAATAAAAAGTAAACAACTAAAAGGGAAAGCAGCATTTTTCTTCTGCACAGTAAAGTTTCAAAGCTGTATTAAGTTAATGTTCAGTTGTAAACTTTTGACAGAACAACCATAATATTTTATTTGGAGTTATAAGCAACTCCACTCCTAAGATGTTTATAAGTCTGAGGTTCTACTCTATGCAAATGATGCGTATCAATCAGAATTCAAAGAGAATAGTTAATGGTTCCTTTCACCATCAAACCCTCTTTGTATGACAGACAGCAAAAGAATGAATGGCATGACTATAGGCCGAATCAGATGGAGTGATAGATGAGGATCTCAATTGCCAAGTGTGATGATGGCACTGACAATTACATAACATTAGTCAGAAAAAAAATCACTCTGAAGATGAAGTACAATGAGAAACTTGTTTTCTATCTATAATTTAAACTAGCTAAGATGTTTCCCCACTCACAAGGAGTTAAAAAAAAAAAAAGTATTAATACCAGCTTGCTTGCTGGCAATTGTGGGAAATGAGTCTTCAAAAGCTTCACATAACATTTCCTCAAATGAAAAATGTAATTGCTTGGATTGAAGACAGTTTGGGGAGAAAGATTAGGACCAACTGGGGGGGGGGGGGGGGAGGAGGGGAAAACAGTTATTTCCTCATCTTCTCTTACCTGGAACAAGTGAGCAAGCCTGCAGCTGTCTAATTACATGACTAAGTTCCCCTTGAAGATTGGCTCCATTGGAATTCTTGAGTGCTTCCAGCATATTCTCCACATCCACAGTACCATCTCCCTCAGCATCAAACTGTGCAAAGGCCTGCAAGAAAGAAAAATGAAGGAAGATTGGTATTTACTCCAAACAGAAAAAGAATAGCTGTGTGAGATATTCTGAATAAGAACATTCTAAAAGGTTTAAAGAAAAATCAGCATTTCCTGCAAAGCTAAATTCATTTTAACAGAAAATGTGATTTAGCTCATTACAGATGTCAATTAGCTCTATAGCATTTGCATGGCTTTCCCACAAAAATCAATTAATAAGATGGCTTGTCAGCCCCCTAAGATATAACAGAGTCAGAAAGACTTCCCCTGTAATTTTAACCTTAGGGTGCGTCTACACAGCAGAGCTTAACTCAAAATAAGTTACACAAGTTGAGTGTCTACACAGCACTTATTTCAAAATAGAGCACTTCTTCCTCCAACTTCCTTTTCTCCTCATACAATAAGGGCTACAGGAGTTGGAGTAAGAAGTCCTCCAACTTGACAGTATTTCAACATCATTTTGAAATAACTGCCTGCTGTACAGATGAGGACTAAGTTATTTTGAAATAACGCTAGCCCTCTCTCCAGCTTTTATTCTTCCCTAAAACACCAAAAAGCAAATGTGTTCAACATGGCCTATACAGTAAAAACAAATGCAAAATGTCTAAACTAAGCCATTTTATAGAAATGACAAACTACTAAAAAAAAAAAAAGTTCTCACCTCCTGCAAAAATCCAAATGATAGCTACATTTTCACCAAATGAGAGCTTTAGAATGCTAACTTTTATCTAACTGACAAGGGAAAAAATAAAATCCAACTACTAAAACAGGAAATGCAGGAACGTCTGTTTCACTCCAAAGAAGTTGGGAATTACCTCAACCTTAACTATAAAGAACTTAGCCAGGAGATCTACATATTTCAAAGACAGTTAAAGTCTGGACTTTGAGATGCACAGGTCTTCAGGTGCTTGTCTTATTTTTACAGCGTAGTAAATACAAGACATCAAATTTATTGGAGGGATGTTTGTGTAGGAGTGCCTTGTTTTTCTGTTTGTTTGAACAGCTAAGATTATATGCTTTTAAAATAATCAAAGTCATTTGCGGTAACTAGTTAGCTCAGGATAGCTGGCCGAGTTCTCTACTATATATTTTAAAGAATGTGTCTGCTCAAGAACAGTCCTCAATTGACATAATTAAGAGAATGTTGAAAAAGACTGAAGCAAGATGAGCCAGAAAAATAGGCTGAACCTAGAATAGGCTTGCTTCTCAAACTTTACAGAAAAGAGATAAAATGGAGAAATTAATGCTTATGTTTTGAAAACTAGAAGACAATGTTACTGGAAATCAAACTGACAATAGCCCTTTTTTGTTCAAACGTAGCGAGTGATAAGAGTTTATAGGGATGAAGAAACAGAATACACTTGATAGAATCCCTGAATTACGGACCTGAGCAATGCGAGGTAAATCTGCTAGTTACCCATATCACTACTACGGATGTAAGTGACTATTCAACTATCCAATAAGCATACATTTATTGAACAGTCGAGTAGTGACTTGACTAGTCGCTTTCCCCTTCCTTCTTGCTGCCTTTATTAGAGAGAAGCAGCGGGGAGGGAGGGTGAGGGAGCAGGACACAGTGCTGGGGGAGCCGGCTTAAAAGCCAGCTCCCCCACACAGCATCTCAGTGAGGGAGACAGGGGTGCTGAAGGGAAATGGTGTGAGCGGGGACTGAAGCAGACCCCGTGGCGTGGGGCTCCTGTACATTTGAAAGGCTGAAGTGCTGCAGTGGGAACATGAGGCCAGCGGGGACTGCTTGAGTGCCTGCTGGTCCCATGCTCCCTACGGTGCCCCCCTTTGCTGCCTCTATGAGGGGCAGCAAGAGGGAGGAACAGGAGCCGGCACTAGGGGGAGCCAGCTTAAAAGCCGGTTCCCTCCCAATACCATCTCCGAGGTGCCACCTGCTCCCTCGCTGCTGCCTGTATCAGAGGCAGTGGGGGGAAGGGAAGTGGCTGCTCTGGCACCAGCCCCTGTTCCTGG